CCGCAGGGAGGAGTGCGAGGTGAGCGCCGTGCTCGACGGCGCGGCGGAGCCACCTCGCCGCGCGGGCGTCGTCGCCCTCGCGCGCGGCGGCGAGGCCGGCGAGCGTCAGGGCGTCCGGGTCGCGCTGGCCCTCGGCGGAGGCCAGGTAGGCGTCGAAGCGCTTCTGGGCGGCGCGCGTGAGCCACGCCGCGCGCTCGGGGGGCTCCCTGTCGCGCCGGACCTGGTTCTGGAAGGAGACGATGGTCAGGGTGGAGGGGAGGTGGCCCTGCTCCGAGGCGACGTGGAGCATGTGCAGGCCGAGGATCCACTGCTCCGGCAGGCGCGGGGAGGAGAGGAGGAGGCATGCTGCGTTGTGCAGGGCCTCTGGGGAGGTGTTGTTTTCTGTGTTGCGCGCGCGCGGGTGGAGTTGGTTAGTAAAACGGGGGGGATGCAGGGAAGGCATGAGGTTCTTGTCTCACCCTGCAGTATGGCCCTCCAGGGGATCCTGTCTTTCTCTTTCAGCATGACTGTGATGTACTGAAGGATGAGGTCTCTGGCTGCCTGGGGCGATAGGAACCCGGTGGGCACGACGACGGCGGCGTTTTCAAAGTAGTCGAGGGGCGGAACGGAGGCTGGGTCGTAGAGGTCCGAGTCCTGGGTGTTGGCCGCAAGTGCTGGAGTGCGGCTGCGCTCGGCGGCCCTTTCGGCCCTCACGACGGTCGGGGATCGCCGGAGGACCTTCTTCGTGGCGTAGGATCTCCGGGCTGGGGTGAGCGATTGTATGGCGGCGGAAGCGGGCTGTACGGCCAGTCTAGGTAGCCACTGTTGAGTACATCGTTCCCGGCAGCGTATGAGGGTCCGTGAGGGCTGTGAAGAGACTGCTCTGGCGAGCATGGTCGAGGATGAGATGTAGCAAAGCTATAAAGCGCCTGTTCGCGGGAGCTGTGATGATGATGAGTTGCTCCAAAGACGACAGAACCTCCGATTCAACAATCAGGCCCCATAGACGACACTCTCTCCAAAGTGGAAACTACAAAATACTTTGACCTTGCCGGAATAGAAGAAAGGGATTCAATTGATTAGCATTGAGCTCATAATTGTGAATGATAGAGCCGAGTATCATGATACGAGAATGTAGCTAATCGACATTCATGAGGTGAGGTGAGCTTTTGGAGGCTTGGAAGGGTTCAGAGCTCACTCAGTTAGTGCTTTTACCGGGGGTTGCGGCGGGTGATAGTGGATCCCACAGGCGCTCTGGAGAGGTCGGTTGGCACCCTCAAAGGCCAATCAGCTTGGATCTACTGATCAACCTTATCGATTCTTATCAGCAGAAAAAAGTTTCGGTGCAGTGCTTCACTTGATTCACGGTCTCTCACATCGAGTCGATTGGATGAGAGACTCAAACTACACCTTTGGCACGTACCAGATTCCACACATTAAACGACAAGGAAACTTTCAAATACTTGGATATAGCACAACACTCAAGCAAGAGGCAGATCAAATTAGTCCCCTTGTCGTTCACACCCTTTCACAATCATGGCTCCCCGCAAGACGAGGACGGCAGCCGCTGCTCAGCAGTCACCCAAGCCCGAGCGGTCAAGCAAGCGCCTCTCAAAGAAGGCGGAACCAGACGTCATAGAGCTCTCGTCGGGCTCAGAATCAGAATACGACAGCTCAGGAGAAGCCGAGCAGGCCCCCGCCGCCGGCACTAAGTTCAGCGCGAAGCGCGGGCTCGCTGCAGAGGAGCAGGGAGCGACGCCCGCCTCCAAGCGGCAAAGGAAGCTGCCTGTAAGGGCGGCGCGGGGAAGAGGCGGCGATGAGGGTGCAGAGGAAGACGAGGAGTCATCAGAGGACGGGAGGGAGGAGTTCGTCACCCCTGCTGCGTCCAAGGGCAAGCACATCGTCTTCGGCGACGACGGGGACGATGATGAGGGCCACAATGAGAAGTTCTACACGCCGCTCGAGGCCCCCGCGTCCAAGAGGAACCCCGCCGGATCCAGCCACCCGCCTCCCGTGCCGGAGGAAGAAGACGAGGACGAGGACGAGGACGAGGACGAGGACGAGGACAGCGACGATGAGGCGCCAGAGGCCGTGACCTCGACCAAGGTAGCGGTGACCGACAGCCGGAAGCAGGCAGAGAGGATGGCCAAGGCATTAGAGCAGTACGTCTCGCACCATTTCCCTACCACAGACAGAAAGAGAAAGAAACGCTAACACGACCGCCATCACGTCCAGGCAAGAAGCAGCCCGCAGGAAGAAGCGCCAGGAGCGCGACGCCCTCTTCCGGCAACAGGCCGAAGCGCGCAAGACCGCTCTCCAGGCGTCCGGTAGTGGCGGCGGTGGCGGCGGCGGCAGGCGGAGGGCCGATAAGACCGGCATCCCCGCGCTCTTGCCCGCCGAGTTCCTCGAGTCCGACGAGGAGAGCGAGGACGAGGAAGCGGCGGCGGCGCTGCTGGCCAAGCCGCGCAAGATTACCTTTGGCGAGGCCGAGCGCAAGCTGTCCAAGGAGGGCAGGCCGGTCCGCGACCAGCAGGTCGGCTCGACTGTGTATAGGGTCGCCGCGGTCAAGGGCGACCAGAAGCTGGCGCCCAAGATGCAAAAGTACTCGCGAAGCACCAAGGAGGAGATGCTGGGGAGGAAACGGGGTGTGCAGAAGAAAGGCGGTTTTCTGGCCAAGAGGAAATAGGAGTAGGGGTTGAAAATGGAGGACAAAGGCCCCTCACTGATCACTTCTTTTTGTCGGCATCTGGTATGGTAGCGAACATTGAGCATAGCTCTAAATCAAATTGCATCAGAATGATCTGGATTCTGGAGTTCCATCAAGCAACTTGTGTGGAAGATTTTGACACCTTGAACCCATGGGATTATTCATCGGCGCATTTGGAAATTGTCACAAGCTGTGCATATAAACGTTGATCGACATCATGTTATTGTCTGCCGTCTGCCATTCTATATACCAACTTGCCCAAAGGGCAGGGTTTGTATACCCAGCACATCTTACCCAGGTTCAAGACTGCCAATGATGTATGCACGCCTTTCAGGAACCTCCCGATATAAAGGTCCAGTCCGTCCGTTTCCACGCAAGATGAACATGTCTTGCTTGTGCCCATATGCGAATCCAATGTTTACGCTGTTTGACAGCGCCTCTTGTCGGCAACTGCCCCAGCGTAGAATAATATGTACAGTAGAATGAGGTCTGGCCTGTTGGCGTTGAGATGACACAACGCCAGGTCCAGAAAAGAAATTTGATGATAAGACCGACCCGCCCAGTTATAACCTGCAAATGCCAACCCAATGTCCTAGGCCTTATCTGCCTTTTACCCGATACCTTGCACCCTGCCCATACTAGGCTTTTGAAGACAAGTAGGAAATGAATAATAAAGATTATGCTGGAAAGGGTCGTGATTGGTCGACCGTAAAATGAATGCTGAAGGCAGCCTTGGTGGAAGAGAAATTAAACTAGTGATTTGGGGGTATCAAAACGGAGATGACTTTGTTGGAAGAAGAAGACTAGGTAATGAGGAAGAGAAGTATAGGGGAGTGAAGGGCGGCCCCTTTCCGTTCGTACAGATCGTGTTCTGAAGCAAGTTTTCATGCCGTCGTTCAGCTGGCGCCACTACAGCAACCAATGAACAGCAGCAACCAGTAGGATGACTGGGATCAGCCATGACGGTCCTTGTCGAGGACTGCCGGGCGCCGCGTTGGCGACAATCGCCACTGGCAGTGTATCATTGACGAACTCCGGGCCGCAGAATGCTTCGACCTGCTGCGCAGCGGGAACATATGTGTCAGCAATGGCGAGCTTCCGGTTCGCGCTCGCGGCTTGAAAGATTGCCATGGTTCGTTGCAGGCACGTATTGCATGTCGGAGTAGAGCTGCGAGGCAACGTCATGTTGAGCGGCAAGTAGTAGAAGTAGACATTGGAGGGAGTCGACAGATTCGTCACTGCATTGGCGTAGCAGTACATGGACGTTTCCGGGTCCTTCAGACACGTTGCTTGATAGAGCGACTCGTAGGCGCTCATACCAAGGTAAGCCTGGACAACGATCGAGTTGCGGAGCTGATAGTCAGTGCCGCAAACATCTGGATCGATGAGCCTCTTGGCAAGCGTTTTGAGATACGGTGAGCATGTAGTCACGTTGGCAGAGCATGAGGCGTCGAGAACCTGTGTTATGCTGACAAGGGACTTGGATGCCTCGAAAAACGACCGCGACGTCTGATGTACAGTTAGCAGACTGGTGCGAAGGAACATTTTACGACCCAATAACAATACTGACCTGGAGAAGTGTGGAGATGGGATAGCACTGCTTGAACGTAGGGTCCGTCAGGAACGCGTTGATGAAGGACGGGCAAGCGCCATTGCCATCTCCATTGCGAGAGAAATTGGACGCGAGGTTGCTATCAAAAGGACTTGGCAGAGGGCTTGCTGGAGCGGCGTTTGCTCGAGTCTGCTGGGTGATAGTCGTCACTGGAACTTTAATCGTCGTCGTTACAGATTCGGATGCAGCTCTCTTGTGCCGTCTGAGTTCATGTTCTTCCTGGGACAGCATGGTCCAACCCCCGTCTTCTAGGATCGGGATTCGTTGATCCACCAGCAGGGTCTCAGTTGCCGCGATATCCGCGGTGATCGACGCCGCGTTCGCTACTGAGAGGAAAGAGAGAAGTGTGAGGAAGAGAGCCAGCCATTGCTGCAAGCGTGGTCGACGACGAGATAACACATGGCTCGAGTCTTTTGCAATGTGTTGAGTCCTCCGGCCACCTTGAGAGGCGGAGATGAGAGCTGAAGCCATCATTGCAGAGCCGCAGCGGGATGTAGCCGGTTTGGAGAGAGCATTACTTGGCGGCAAGGCGTGAGGTTCCTGAACGAGTGACTGATAACTGCAAAAGCAGGCTAGGTCGAAAAGCGCGAGTAGAGGCCTGCGTTCTGGAGGCTCTCTTTCGTTTTCCTGTGCTCTCGATATCCAGAGATAACCAAGGCGATCCTCCCAGGCGCATAGGACCTATTATACAGACGGCACAGCGAATATGGCGGAGAAGGCGACAAATTCTGCTGGTTGACGTGGATAGAAACTTCGGACCAATATGGGCGTGACGGGTAAATCAACAACTTGGTAAAGTTGGATGTTTCCCGCGTGGATGGGCTGCCTGGATCCAATGAGCGAGAGCGGGCTCACAGACTTATATACGAAGCCTATATGATGGATTTATGCCGTGCCTGGGTTTTTGGGGGCAGCAATGAGCTCGTGCGGGCACTGCGGGGGCGGCCAGACAAGTCGACCAGGCAGGCAGGTAGATCAAGACGTCGACCCCAAGGAGGATGTGATGACGGGCGATAATGGCCTTGGGTGCCTCGAACCAACTTGTTGAAGACTGCCGGTCAGGATCCGGGGCGTGACTGTCGATGGTCCCGTTATGCAGTACCGGAGGCTTCGCCGTGAGAGCAGGCGGCAGAGCCATTATATGAGATTTGAGGAAAAGGAGGACTGAGCAACAGGGGAGACCCATCGACACACCGGGACAAACAACGACCGGGGACCACGGCAGACACACAAGTGACTGGACATGATGGGGGCAGAGAGGCGCTTGCAGGGTCCATGGCCAGGTCACTAGACCCATTGCAACCTCACCATCGCAAAGCGAGACAGGGTGCTGGGGTGGTCCCAGAGCGAGCCGGGCGAGACCCCCCAGCACAACCGCTTACCAGAATGGGGAATGGCTTCACATGGAAATAGACCAGAGATGGAGCAAAAAAAAACAAAGACGGCCTCTGCTTGGCAATATGCAGAAAGGTGTGTGGGCTGCGTATGTATTGTATGTAGCACGGCTAGACAGCATTGGAGCAGATGGGTCGGCCGTGGGCCTTCTCTTGGCCAACTTGGCCAACATTTGTCTTGTCTTCAGTGCCATTGAGACTGGGCAGTGCCAAGCGAAAGTGGAAGCTTCCATCTTCCTGGAGAGCCACGTTGTGGTGGCAGGAAATGATCAGCGCGTTCAACGCGGACGGGACGATCACCTCGAATTGACCCATATAAAGAAGGCTTGCTTGAGGCTGAAGTGCATTTTTGCTATCGTCAACAAGACGACGGCAGCTCATCCCTCATATCGCCATGATCAGCAAATGCACGGCAGTCGACGGCAGACCGAGTTCCCGGCTTGCTCACGCAGACCTCCGTTGCATCGGAGTTGTACGTAAGCTGTAATTCCAAGTGAGTAGCGCAACCCTCGCTGGATACCTAGAATTGGGACCGGTGCTACTGGCTCATACCATTCTCATTTTTTTTCTTGGTCTTCCATGCTGCTGGCGTTGCAATGGTCTTACTTGTAGAAAGCCGCCCCACACCCGCGTCTTGTCTTGGGGGAATACGAAGACACAGGTGCCCACAAGTGGCATAGTGCGGGTAAGCCACGCGGGGTGGATTCGATAGTTTGCATCGCCAAATGTCAGTTCTCACCGTGCCGTCCCTTTGTAAGACTGAGCCTGAGTACCTAATCTCTGTGGATGGGGTGGGAACGGTACCTGCTCTGGAGCCTCTCTCCCGTCCTGGCCCGGACGCCAAGTAAGGGATCACTTGGTCTGTACCACCGCCCGACATCTCGGTGGATGTACGGAATAAGCGGCCCCAGAGTTGCGTTGTGCGTTGTGCATTGGGGGCCCAACGGGCCTTGCCTAGTGCTTTTCCAGTCTTGAGGCGGGAGATGGAGTAGCATTCAAAGGCGTGATAACGAAAGGTGCTTTGGCACTTGTCGACCTTCTTAACCATCAGCTGAATGTACGGAGTCCAAGCAATCGATCGTACCAGTAGAGCAAGGGACCTCTGGTGTGTGCGATGTCAGCTGTCAGCTGGGCATCTGGGGTCGACTTGACAGCGGTACAACTCCGCTCTTTCTTGTACGTACAAGTACAGTATCGAGACTGTCGACAAGGGTCTGAAGGGTGCATCCTGTTCGAGAGGGTGGTGTGGTAGAGGGCTACGGCGTACGTAGTTCAGCCTTCAGCACGTAATCCGAAATGAGCGAGGTGTGTTGTCGTGTGGGCATCAGCGCCAATGCAGGTACGAGCGAGATGCAATGTTAATGGGGCAGACTGGATGCGAGATTGAGGATGCATGAAACAGCCTGACGTTGGATGGCGATTCGCGAAAGACTTGGTTGGCTGGCTGGAATGACGGAAATTTCCTGACGGCGGACGCAGTCACATCACATGTCTGTCAGCACCTGCCTTATCAGTTGTGTGTGCTGTTGCCCCCTTTGCTTGCTGTTCCTGGGAGAGGAGAGGAGAGGAGAGGCAGGAACAAACAGCATCATATTACTTCTCCCTAAAAACCAATATCTGTGCTCATGCATGTACGTACTCCGTACTTACACACATCCACTCGAGCAAATCCACACCTTCATCAACAGCAATGATCCCTCCCATGCATCAATCAATCACTTGCGTGCTTCCCTGTCCCCATGCCATGGATGATGGTACAGATGACAAGGGCAGTTCTAGACCAGCAAGTTTGTACAAAGACGTCCCCACTAACGGGCATTGCAACCGCGCAGGGTGGCGCCGCGTTTTTAGCGAAATTGGCTCGACCCAAAAGCCTCGCAAGCCTCGACGAATCCTCCTCGCAGATTCAAGTCTGCCAGACCACGGCGTCCCCGTTATCATGCGCTTATTACATGGCGTCCACGGTTACAAACGCCACGGTTGAACGGCAGATAGCTTCGCCGCAAGCAAAGCGCAGCGGCCGCCGCGCTTTGCTGTCGACTCATCGCAGACAGACATCGATGAACTTTATTGACGAGACACCAATTTGGTCGTGAAAAGTTCGAAACCATCCCCAACAACACTTAGTTAGCATCTACTCGTAGTCGGCAGCAGAGGGCACAACTTGCCGGTTCCTAACTTGGTCTGTAGTGCGTCGTCGAGCGGAGAATATTACAGAAAATGGCTGTTGAAGGAATGGGCCCAGCGTGCAGGCTCTCTTGCGCTTCTCGGAACCCCCCTGGTCCCCAGGCCTGCTGCAACGCCAACTTTCTCGTCCAAATCGCTTACAAGCGCCTTGTCCTTGGAACAGACCACCGCTTATTCTCCCTTGCAGATACTACAAGAAGTACGCATATGGTATCCGAAGACCCAGACTTGGACTTTCAAGCCTCAAGTGGGCCAAAATACTACTGTGTTGCTTTATGATTATCGAGATTGCACAACTGGTCTTGGCCGAGCCGCTGCTATCTCCCATTCGTCAACTGCAACAATGGAGCTTCTCATCCGGGCCGCGCGGTTCTATTTCTTTGTTCATTACTTTGTACAGTCTTCATAGCACCTATGAAAAACCTCACTCTGAGAACGCTGGCGGTTGGACACATCCTCTACAGTCCTCGGGGGTATCAAATGCCAAATTAACACGCAGGACCTTTCAGGACCATACCTACTTGTAGGCCCGGCGGTGGCCCCCTCGAATCTCGGATCCATCCGTACGACGCTGCACGCCAGTGGGCTTGTAGACGATGCCACGCAGTGCTACCCATCTCAACGTCCAGAGTACTTGTAGAGAAGCCCCATTCTCTCCCAGAAATGTAACACCGCCATCGAGTATCAGGACACGGGGAAGGCAGTCAAGCTGCCCGAGGACCGGGCTATCGGCAGTCGAGCTGTGGAACGAAAGGGGAAAAATGGATGGATGTGCACGACAGACGCCGTGTACAAATGCATTCCACCCATATAGAGTCAGCCGTTACAAACGAGTGTTCTGGCTAGTCACTGGGCTCGATCCCACCCCACGAGACATCCTACACACGTACACCCGCTCCGTTGCGGCTCACACGGCTTGATATCAAACTCCAAGTGGTGCTAATCTCCGGATCACCGAAGCGGCTCAGAAACTGGACCATCCGTCCAAGACCTTGCTTGGGGGCTGTCACCTCTCACGACACACACCACGAAACATAGCCTACGGAGTACCTGGGCCAGTTACACACACCCACCCACCCATACGGAGTACACATATTCACCTGTTTCCCACTTGTCCACGTCCTCCTCCCCACCTTGTCCGTAGGACGGACGTTTGAATCCGAAACCATGTCTCTAGACTGGCGCCGGATGAGACAATTGCACCTGCGCCTCGCCGTATTGTCCGGCACTTACCGAACGAAGACGCCAGTGTCGCTGACTAGCGTCCTGGGAGAAGAGGGCTCAAAGGTGTTCCCTCCTTCGAGAGTGCTTTCTGATGAACTTTGGTGTTTCTTGGGGAACTTCTACACCGCTGGCTCTCTGGATCACATTCCTCGTGCCCACGGGTGCAGCCATTCCGGGGAGGACCTTATGGAGTTGCGAGAGGTGTGCCAAACCATGTGACTATCGTGCTAATGCAGGTACAGGGTGCAATGTAAGACAAATGCCGTAGAACAACCTGAAAAGACCACTCTCAAACGGTACCATGCCTGTTCACATTCCAAGCTGCAGCCCTGTAATAGGTCCTGGTCTTCCATAACTGACGACTGGGGAGGGAGAAGACAAACCCGGCAAAGTCTTGAAAATCTTGAATGAAGATGTGTATTGTATATTTGAGGTTGATCCCGCCGGGATTCAACACACGGGGGTAGAGTGCTACCGTCCGTGCAAGTCTAGCTGAAGAGAGAGGGAAATGTATCGCGGAAGAATTAGATAGGTAGGTATCGGGAGGGGAGTTCATGACAAGACAACTCAACCCAGGTAAATAAAAACAATAGCAGACGTCCATTATGCTCGCAGCAGAATCGCCAAAACATATTCCCCATGCATGAGCTTGCCCTCCCAAATCCAAAATGGAATTGAGCATCCAGGAACTTTTTCTTCTTCTTCTCCAAGACAACCCCCGCTGAAACATCCATCTACAAGAAGGTGGTGTATCGGGGTGGGTAAATGTAAGCCATCATCACCTGTGCTTCTCGAGGCTCTGCAGGTTGACCAGCTCGGCGTACCGGCCGTTCTTCTTCATCAGCTCCGAGTGCGTGCCCTGCTCGACGATGCGGCCCTGGTCGAAGACGTAGATGATGTCGGCCTTTTGGATGGTGCTGAGCCGGTGCGCCACGGCGATGGTCGTGCGGCCCTTGGCCGCCTTGTCGAGCGCCGCCTGCACCACCTTTTCGCTCTCGCTGTCGAGGGCAGAGGTCGCCTCGTCCAGAAGCCTGTGTGCGTGCACGCAAACTCACGTTAGTTTTTCCCATGTCTCATCAAACGGAAGGGCGGAATCCGGTAAAAAAAAAAAAAAAAAAAAACAGGAGAAGGGGGGGGGAGAGGGGGGAGGGGGGCTTACAGAATCTTGGGGTCGCGCACGAGCGCGCGCGCGATGGCGATGCGCTGCTTCTGCCCGCCGCTCAGCAGCGTGCCCTTGCTGCCGACGACCGTGTTGAAGCCCTCGGGCAGGCTGAGGATGAAGTCGTGGATGTTGGCCTCCTTGCAGGCGAACTCGACGGCCTCGTCCGACACGTCCTCGGGCGCGCCGAGCAGGACGTTCTCCTTGATGGTGCCCATGTAGAGCGTCGGCTCCTGCGACACGAGCGCGATGTGCCGCCGGTACCCGTTGACGTTGAGCGTGCTGATCTCGCGGCCGTCGACGTGCACGCCGCCCGCGAGCGGGTCGTAGAAGCGCTCGAGCAGCGCAATCGTCGTCGACTTGCCGCAGCCCGAGGCGCCCACGAGCGCGACGTACTGGCCCGGGTGCACGCTGAGGTTGAGCCCGCGCAGCACGGGCTGCTCCGGCCGCGTCGGGTAGCGGAAGTGCACGTCGCGGAACTCGATGTGGCCCTCGACGCCCTCGACCTTCTCGCCCTCGTTGGACCACGTGTCGATGGTCGGCTTGCGGTCGAACAGGATCTTGAGCTCCTCGCTGGCCTGCTTGGCCTTGCCCATGTCGGGCGCAAAGGAGAAGACGGTGCCGGCCGACTGCGCGCCAAAGATGACGGCCGAGAAGACGATGAAGAACTGGAACATGTCGTACTCGCCCTTGCCGAGGAGGCTGCCGCCGTACCAGAAGCCGAGGGCGAGCACGAGGAACGTCAGGGACTGGGAGGCCGCATAGAGGAGGGATGACTTGAGCACGGAGATCAACGAGGCGCGCTGCTGCGACTCGAGACTCTCCTTGTACTGGCGCAAGACGTCGTGCTCTCTGGTGAGCGACGCGACGGTGCGGATAGCAGTGATGGCCTCGGATGCATAGGACGCAGAGGTGTTGTAGGCCCTCTTGGCACGTCGCTGGTAGTGCGCCAACATCCAGAAACGGAAGAAACCGCAGCCCAGCAGGATAGGGATGGTAGCAGTGCAGACAAGAGCCAGCTTCCACCCGATGACAATGGACAGAGTCAAGGCGCTGATCAGCGTCGTGATGACCATCAGGAGGGTTCCGAGAGTGACACCACTGAGACCGGCAACGTGCGTAGTCTCGGTGGACAAGAACGAGGTCAGAGCACCGGCAGTATTCTCGTCGTGGTCAAAGAAGGCAACATCCTGGCGAAGCATGGTTCGGAAAGCGCGGTCTCGCACCCGATGGACGAGGCGCTCGGAGCATTTCGCAAAGATGACACCCTGGATGGCAAACGAGATGAACTGCACAAACGCCAACATCAGGTACATCAGACACCAGAATGACACGTCGGACCGGATCTGCGGGGTGTTGGCCGGAGTGATCTGTACAGACAAAGTCGTGATGAGTTTGGCAAAGAAGACGGCCTGCGTGGGATTACCACCACCGCAGATAGCAGAGAAGAAGAGAGCCACGAGCATCCACTTCCACTCTTGCTTGTTGAAGCTGGCAATGAGCTTGATCAGCGTCCAGAGGCTATACTTTTTTGTCGCTTCGGTGTGGCGGCCTTGGAGGGCCACGCTCGAGGCAGACTTGGAAGTGGCGGTACGCTTCAACTTGTCGGCAACGTTGTCGTCGGGATCGGGAATGAAAGATGGCTCGTTGGCTGCGGAAGCCTTGCGAACGAGCTCTTCCTCCTTCTCGTTCATGACCTCTTCCTCTTCTGGAGAGAGCTCGTTGACGGCAGCAATGCTCTGCGCGCTGACCAGCTTATAGTAAGCACCCTTACGTTCAATCAGGTCGTCATGGGTACCCTGTTCCACAATCCGGCCCTCGGCCATGACCACAATGTTATGTGCGTCCTTGATGGTGCTCAGTCTGTGGGCGATGGTGATAGTCGTCCTGCCAGCTGACGCGACCTCCAAAGCAGCTTGGACAACGCCTTCGGACCGGGTGTCGAGAGCGGACGTAGCTTCGTCAAGAAGCAATATCTTGGGGTCAGACACGATGGCACGGGCGATAGCAATGCGCTGCTTTTGACCTCCGGAAAGGAGGAAGCCACGCTCGCCGACATTGGTCTCGTACCCTTCGGGAAGAGCCGAGACGAAGTCGTGTGCATTGGCCTTCTTGGCGGCCTCGTAGACAAGTTTCCGCTGCTCGTCCTCGCTCGCATTCTCGTGCGCGGTGCCAATCAGGCCGTGCCTGATGTTGTGGAAGATGGTCGTGCCGAACAAGACAGGCTCCTGCTGCACAAGGGAGATGTTCTGGCGGAGCCATCTGAGATTCAGCTTGCTGATGTCGTGGCCGTCTAGGTAGACAGCGCCCCTGACCGGGCTGTAGAAGCGCTCGACGAGGCCAATGATGGTGGACTTTCCAGATCCCGAAGCACCGACAAGCGCAGTGGTCTTGCCCGCAGGAATTTCCAGGGACACATCCTGCATGACCACAACTTCCGGCCGGGACGGGTAGATATGCTTGACGTTCTCGAGGCGAATGTTTCCTTCCAGGTGGTCCAGCTTCTCGCCCTCGTCAGAGGTCGGATCGAGCGCTGACTGGCGGTCAATGGTATTATAGATCTTGGAAGCGGCTCCGAGGGCGGTGGTGAAAGCCTGCACGTTTGGCGCAACATTGCCAATGTTGAAAGCACCAATCATGACGGACATCATGATGATGAGCACCTTGGACAGGGGGATGACGTTGTCGAGCAGGAAGCGACTGCCCATCCAGAAGGCGAGACCATAATTCAGGTACAGGACCAGCATCATACCGGCGACCATGACGCCGATTGCGCCCTTGACCTTGTATCCGTACTTCTCGGCTTTGGCTAGGTGAACATCGTATTGCTTGGCGAGCCGGTCCTGGGTCCCAAAAGCGACGGCGTTCCGGATCGAGCTGATGACTTCCTCGGCGACACTACCGCCTTGCGCATAAGCAAAGACGGACGATTTGCTATACTTGACAATGAAACTGGAGCCGCCACCCATGACCAGGACCAGTGCCACCACGGTCGAAAAGAGGATCAGGGTCAGCTTCCAGTACTCGACGAAACCGATGACAAAGGCAGCCACAAAGGTCGCGGCGGCGGCGATTGTCAAGGCGACTTTCTCAGAAATGCCTTCCTGGACAAGATTGGTGTCGGCCGTAATGCGAGTCGTAACCTCTCCAGCACCGAGCTTGTCGAAGAAACCGATGTTTTGGCGCATACAGCTTTCCAGATAGTGCTCACGGATCTTGCCGCTGATGTGTTCGCCAGTGTAGATGAAGCCGACGGTGGAGATGTAGGTGGTGACAAACTCTCCAATGGCCAGGTAGATGAAGTACAAGACCAGGTGTGTCATTTCGGACATGAACTCGTCGTACGTCATGGTTTTGAGGTAGATGCCCTGGAAGGTGCCCTGGAGATTTCCAAAGACGACTGTCATGAGCGGTAGAGCGGCACCTGCGGCGATGGCACAGACGGTAGAAACGGCAATGATGAGAAGATCGTTCCGGGAGGCATAGCGGTATAACGTGGCGATGCCCACCTTGACCTCCGGAGTAAGAACCTGTCTCTTGAGGATTGAAGCCTCCTCGGGAGGGAGTTTCTTGAAGATGGCCTCCTCGTCCGTCTCCTTTTGGGGGATGATAACCTTGGAATCAGCCTTCTCCAACGCAGTCGGACTGCGCGAGCGTTTGCCGTCTTCGCCCTGACCTGCGGTTTCAGTAGAGTCCCCATGACTGGAGGCGGGTTTTGACTGGCTAGCGACGGTAGCCTCGTCGGGCTTTTCTGACAGTTCGGGAGCCATTATTGTAGATAATCCGGAAAATAGGTACGAAAATCGGATTGGCGTCAATGTCCTTATAAGAGTGCTGGACCAAACCTGCCAGGTGAGCTGGGCGAGGCGTGTTTCCGGTATTGACTTGAACTTGACACAATGATTGGCTACGAGAAAGCTCTGCAAGCTACCTTCAAGCCCCTTGAGACTGTGTAAGTGTCGGCTCTGCAAACCGGGTAAAGTTCACGAAACGGGATGTTGTCAACCTGGAAAAGGCTTGTTGCATTTCCAGGTAGTTAGGGAGAGTGTCTCAATGTCTCACACCAACACGGACACGGGCACTGGGTGCCTGCGTACAAACAAAAGGGACAACCCGACAATCAAGTGGTCGTCCGACTCTTTAGAGCCTCAGAAGGGACAAGAATAGGGAAAGACTGCAAGTGTTAAAAGAGAAGAAGTCGAGGAGGAGAGGAAAAGCTGTGATGGCACAGCCAAGAATGATAAACAATAAGAGGTCTAGCTCCCGAAAACGACGAGTCGGGTCCTTTCACTGCTACCTCCCACCCACACTAGTACGCTAGCTAGTATGAGGAGAGAAGATGCGAAAAGAGAAAAGAAAGCGAAAGCGACGGGCCTCCACAGCCTAGCGCGGCACACGACAGGCATCAAATCAAGCATCAATCGGCCGGGAGGCTGATGGAGGGCGCCTCAGTCGCCCGAGCGGGCCCTTTGAACCATCCGAGTGTGCATCAGCACATTCATTGACTGTCGAACAAAGTTCCGACTCGCAAGCCACACACACCAGGCAGCAGGGCTCGGGGCATTTGCAATGATGACGTGTTGGAAAAAAAAAGGACTGGAAGGCTAGCGGATGCGAGATACGATACATGCAGCGTATCTCTCTCCAGACTTTGTTTTTTCGGTGCAACCTCCCCACTAACTGAAGCGCTGGAGATGTCGGCGGATCATCTCTACTATGTCCGGCAGTCTGCCCGTCATCGCCAATGTCTTACACACATGCGGAAACATTACCGGTTTGTTAGCTACGGCTTGAGCAAACCCCCAGCGTCGGATATTTCTGACCCCGACTCCCCACACGCCCCTATTGTACTTGTATTTTTAGAATACGCGCCCCTAGCATTGATCTCGATGTTCTTTTTTCCCTTTTTCTGCCCTTGAGGGAGGAACTGTGCTGCCAAAGCGAGTGGTGTGTCGTTCCACGCGCTGAGTAAACATCTGGAGATGTTTCGGTTGGTCCCGACTCCAGCGCAATTTGGTCGAGTGAATCAAATGATGTTTGAATTAAGCAAGGCAAATCAGGACACTAAGCTGGATTGGTGTGCAATCAGCGAACAAACCCCCTGGTAGCTGGTAGACTGTGGGAGTGCTGTAACTAAATGACAGGGGGTGGACACTGGGGACCACTGGAGTCGATTCGAGTCGGGATATCGGGTCCTTCCAGTCCCCGTCTGATTCACCTTTTACGCCTCATCTAACTACGGCGTACTCCGTAATTGGGGGCGTATTCCCAATGGCTGGAAGCTGACTGCATGCGTTTGTGTAGGTCAGACTCCTTCAGGGTACCACAAAGATTTGATGCTACTTCTAGAGTGGGGGTACGACTCATCCGGCCTCCTTTGACTCATCCGGCCGTTCGTAGCTTGGCACACGGCGGCGCTGCCATGTTGATCCTCCGGCGACCCTCAAAAGAGGCCCGGCACACTTGCGCATCCTTCGCCGGCCGGGGTTTTCATTGCAAGCCCTTGTTCTCTGCAGAAAGGCCAATGCTATGTTCAGCCAGCCTATCATAGCCCAGGCTATTTCCTGCGAATGAACGGGAGAGGCCCGCTCTGGATCAACAAGGTAAAGAGGCTCGTCAAGTCATTTTAAGCTATTTTTCAGCACACCTGTCTCCGAATACGCGTATTGAGGCCCGTAATAGATCACATTCCTTCCAGACCCCCGTGTAGCTACCTTGACTTCTTCATCGAAGACGCTTCTATTGCTCATATTGGCATCTGCTTTACGTCGAACGAGGTTTGCACGTCATGAAGCAAAGTGCGTGCAATCTTAGGCCAGCTGTAAAGCAGGGACGTGCTTAGTAGGTACCGTATAGATAGATGCCTTACCCAGCTACAGGCAGCGACAAGGCCACATTGCAGCGCGTTTTGTCTGGAACCCCAGATCCAACCAGAGTGACAGCTGAGTTTCTGTCAGCCCCACAGTACCTAGGCCACCTCTCACTGAGAGGCTACTACGTCAGCAGATTCTCTACTGTTCTCTGCTGGGCGCCACACTGAGCTTCAAACTTTAGCTCCCGACCACGCTTCTTTCACTTCTTTGCCACCACCACCACCAGACTGGAGACAACAATCGGCGCCAGCACGAACATGACATCTGTCCTCTCGGGCTGAGGTTACTGCCTGCCGCCCGACCTGTACGACATCTAGCTCTTTTCATTTTTGATGTGCGCGACGGGAGAGGAGATTGCTTGCAATACAACATTCCAGGCAGTGCACGCCCTGGCTTGAGAAAGAGCTTGGGCAAACTTCCAATTTTATTCAACCTCGACCGGATCGCGACGAAACACACCACGACCCCATCATGCATCTCGCGCCCCTGAAGGCGGCGCTCCTCCTGGGACTGGCCCTCACGGAGCCAGTCGCCGCCGCAAAGCCCAAGAATGCCATCCTACTCTCCGAGGTTGGTTCTCTCCTCCCCTCACCTCGCATTCTCTCATGCACAGTAGCTAACCATACTGCAAATCAAAACTAGGTCCGATCCCTCACCCTCCGCGCCGACAAAAAGACCACCCACCGCCGCGTCTCGGCCATCCCGCAGCTCAAGTGCGTCTCCCCCAGGTCCGTCTGCGACCTGCACAAGGTCGACGTCATGCGCTGCACCAACCAGGGCTCCTCGTACGACGCCGAGGACGTCCAGTGGTCTTGCACCGCCTCCCTGCCCCCGGAGCTCAAGCTCGGCAGCACCGAGGTCATCTGCGAAGGGTACGCGGGGCCCGACGACCCTTACGTCCTGCGCGGCAGCTGCGGCGTCGAGTACCGCCTCGTGCTGACCGACGAGGGCGAGCGCAAGTACCCCAACCTCGGCGGCGGCAGCGGCGGCCGCGGATTCTGGGGCGGTAGTGCCGGCAGTGGCGGCGGCGATGGCACGGACTGGAGCGCCTGGCTGTTCCTCATCATATTCCTAGGCGTGCTGGGCTGGATCGTGTACTCTGCCTTTACAGCAGCGGGGGACAATGCGCAGCCGGGCCGGAGGCGGCCGAGACGCAACTTCTGGGGCGGAGGCGGCGGATGGGGCCCGGGCTGGGGACCCGGCGGAGGAGGCGGCGGCGGCGGCGGAGGTTTTGGCGGAGGATACGACGACCCCCCGCCGCCGTATCCTGGGAGCAAGTCGTATGGCACGCAGGGAGGCTGGCAGCCCGGCTTCTGGAGCGGTCTGGCGGGCGGTGCGGCCGCTGGGTACTTTGCCGGACGGAGGAACGAGGACCGCTCAGGATATAGAGCGGGAGCTACCGATCGAGGTCTTGGTGGCAGCTCATGGGGTGCAGGACCGTCCGGTTCCCGCTCCGGATCAAGCTCCTCCTCCACCTCAACGGCGCGGTACGAGAGCACAGGCTTTGGCTCGACGAGCCGGCGATAGTCTCGTAGATGGGAACTGAGCATTAGCAAATCAAAGCGAGTCAATTTCATGTACACCTCAATTCCGTCTCGCATGGACAACATGGTGAACCGGCCCAGGCACGTTGATATGGACATCCAGAAGCAATGTGCTTCTGGTATAATTTTTGTCATTGCTCGCATAACACGAGCGCTATCCCTCCCGCTTGTTCGGACACGAGGTGTAAGAGTACACGGATCCAAATCTCAAGAATCCATCGCAAAAGGTATCATGCCGCATTTCTTGTCCTCCAAAGCAGACTCCGACGCCTCCCTTCTAGCAAAACCACACCATTTGCATGGCCGCTCCGTGAGAACGAAAAAAAAAAAAAGTGTAAAAAGGTATCCATGGGCCTAAACCATACAGACATCTTACAAATGCACCGCCATGACATCCATCTTGTCAAATGCCTTGTTACAAGTCGGGCACTTCCGCATACGATTGCTGAGCCGCGTCTCGAGACATCCGTGGCAAAACACGTGTCCGCAAGTCTTGACAACCGCATCCTTGAAGTTGTTGCGACACACTGGGCATGTAGCGAATTTCTAGGCCATATCGTTAGCACACACACACACACAACGTTGAGGCTCGTGGAATGCAAGACCTACCCTGAGCATTTCTTCCTCCTCTGATGAATTGGCCAAGCACTTGCCCTTCCAGCTGTCTCGGTCCTTCTGGACATGATCGAGCCTGACGCGGAGCTTCTCGCACTCCGTTTCCTTATCCATCACCTGTTCTCGCATGCTTGCATTGCCAGCGTCCTTGGACTTGACCAGATTTGTCAAATCTGCTATTTGCGATTTCGCTGATTCTGCGCGGCGAAGAGTTTCCGAGTTCGAGGCCTTGAGCGTCCTGTTTTCCTCCATCACCGTGGCATTGGACTGCTTGAAATCGACCAGCTGTTTCTCCAGGTTGCTCAGAAGAACCTTATTCTGTGCTTCAACGTCCTTCAGAGTCTGGATGATTTCTGAGCTCTTGGAATTCTGATGGCGCAACGCCCGGATCTCCCCCGTACGAATATCGGTATCCTTTCGTGCGGCGAAATATTTCTGGTCTGCCTTGCCCTTCTCGAGGATCAGAAGCTGAACCTTGTCCTCCAATGCTGTGAAGTCCATGGTCTTCTTCTGTGCCAAAGAAATAGCCTTTTTGTATGCTTTTTCGACAGAGGGAACTTCGCTCTGGATAGAGGCAAAGTCCTTTTCGAGCTTGAGATACTTCTCCCGCAGTTCTTCCACGGATAAAGCCTCTAGCTCAGGTCGTGGGGTTGACATTGTAGCATCCTCGCTTGGTCGTAGCCTCTCCAATTCCAACTCGAGTGCGGTTATACGGTCCTCCTTGGCGCTGACCAGCTCCTTTATGTGCTCGAGGGCCGTCCTCTCTTGCTCTTGACTAGCTTTTCGAACGGTCAAGTCTGCCACAAGCTCATCTCTCACCGACCTGATGCGAGTCAAGTCATGTTCCTTGGCCTGAACCTGGTCTTCCAACTCGCCCGTGACAGCCTGTGCTTCCCTTTCAAGTTGAGTGCGGAAAGACGTCCTCTCGGCTTGGTACTTCTCGGCTTCCTCTCGAAGTGTCTTGTTGACGGCTTCCAGGTTGTTGATGTTCTTAATCAGATCCTCGTGTCGAGCCTTGAACTGCCTGAATATATCCGATCTCGCGTAGTCCTCATCCGTCAAACTGTCCTTTCGCGTCTTGATGGTTGAGTTTTCGTCTTGCAAACTCTTGTTTTCTGATCGTAGGAGCTCGACTTGTTCTTTTTGCTTGGCGATGACAGCGACTGCCTCCTGGTACTCGAGCTGCAGAGCCTCATTCTGAGCAGACGACTCCACAGAACCACTGCCATTCTCACCAGCTCCAGGGGCAGGTCGTGATGTGGCGTTGGCTAGCGCTTGCTGCTCAAGCTTCTGTACCTGGGCGCTTTTGGCACGGTCAAGCTTCTTCTCAGCCTTGATGTACCGCAACGTTGCCGTATCCAGTTGCTCTGATAGGCTCTCCTTCTCCGAGTTCAAGCGCTCGACCTGTACGTGATACTCCTTCACACTCGCCAGGACCGTATTTAATTGACTTTGCAGGTCTGATGCCTCTGACTTTGCAGGTCCTCCGCTAGCTGCAAGACGACCGAGAAGCGAATCGACAGACGACTTGATCGACTTTGCCTTTTCGCCCAAGTGCTTTTGAAAATCCTTACTATCCTGGAAATGCACGCCGGTGGGAAAGGAATAATCTTGTGCAGGTGTCAGCTGGAATGTCGACGTATTGAGCCTCGGCAAACATACCTTGAGTATCGAGGGCAGTTGACACAGATCCGTCAATGATCAACTCCAACTCCTGTAGAAGCTGCGCACGTGTCAGCAAGAGCGTCGCCCTCAGTGAGATGGGGTCGGTTCGGAGCATCTTACCTGGAGCCACCAGGCATCGATTATCCTCAAATGGTCATCGTGGTATGTCGACTTTTTCTCGACCTCTTCGAGACGTGCTTCGAGGGTGACTTTGTCCCGCTTGTACTCCAGCATCTGCCGGTAGATAGCATCCTTTTGATAGTCCTGCAAGCGCCCTCAGTCAGCAATGTTCCCTTCGCGATCGGATAGCAACGAGGAAGCCAGTACGGGGCATGTGTTTGTTTGTTCTTGGTGGTCATGGAGTCATTCTCAAACAGGCTGAGGAGTAGCGGGCAGGCAGTCCTGAGAGCCGAGCGGGCTGTGACCAGCAAGCGGCGCATTAGCACTGAACACCAGCTGTGCTTGCCTCTCAAAAGGATACGAGAGCGACAGGCTGCAGGCGACAGAGGATTTGGTCGGGTTGATGAATGGTGATGATGTGCAGATGGGAGGGGGAGGAAAGGGGCGGTGGGGGGGTTTGAAAGATCTCGACACCTACCTCTATCCAGGCTTCGTCCTTTGTGTCGCCGCCATCATCTCTCGACTTCCCGCCGCCGTTTAGTTGATGTCGCTTGCTCGGAGGGGCCAAGTCATCAGTGTTGGTGAGTGCTGGTCTCTTCCTGTCCTCCATCTTCGCGAAGGTGGACGGACGAGGCGCGGTGGATGTTGTTGTGGCAATAGGCATGAGAAAAATGCAGGTCGGAGGAGGACAAAGGAGGCAATCAAGACGCCTCTATATGAAGAGAAAATATATGCAAACGGTTGAGAAAAAGCCTTCTAGCCGAGCGACACGGCCCTTGAAGGAGTCGGGAGGAGCATAAAAGAGCGTAAGACAGCAGGAAAAGGTTGAGAGATGGGGATCGAGCCAGGAGGAGACGAATTTTCGAACGTCGAATTCAAGGTCGCTGGCGAGAAAAAGGGACTAACTGAAAAGGCTTAGCCTGCCTGGTCTGGTCGCTCCTGCGGGCTTATCGCGCCAGATATCCCAGGAGTGGGTCCTTTCTCCTCGCGTCCTCCACTCTCCACTTTTCCCATCACTTGCCTTGCGCCTCGATTTTCGAGATTTCGATCCGGCTTCGACTTGGCTTTAGAATCACATTCATATTCTCGACGAGATTGGTGTCACTCCTTGATGTGGACACAGTTCAGATCTACGGCTGTACCAATTCTCCCACGTCAACTCCTGGCAGGAAATGAAACGAGCCGCCCGTTCACGGCGGTCACCACCACACAACACCCCCCGCCACGCTCGAGTCACACCTAAATCTCCAGCATGAGTTCCATGCTCAAGAAGAAAGGCGGCCTGGCCTTCAAGCCGAAAGCGCCGATTGCGAAGAAGGCCGCCGCTGCCGCCGCCGCCAGCTCGTTAGCTGCCTCACAAACCTCCGACCAAGCCGTCTCTGCTAGGCGGCAGTCTGCGACACCCGTTCCGACAGCCACAGCTGAAGAACGCCCAGCTCCTCCTCCAGCAGTCGCCAACGCGCCAGAGGCTGAGGCAACATCCATTCAGGAAAATATCGCGGCAAATAAAACTGCTGCAGCCAGCAATGCGCAGATATCAGCCCCTTCGAGTGCGGGAGACCGCCGTCGTGAGTCGATATCGAAAGCCCCCGAACAGCCTCCTGCAGTGGACACACAAACCCAAAGGAAGGCACCGACAAGAACACCTGCGAAATCCTCAAAAACACCCTCAGCAACCCCGGCTGCAAGCAAAGCCGTCGAAACTCCGAGCAGAACAAGACGAGCGTCAACGACTACCCGCTCCCGTGCTGCAGCGGACTCGGCGTCAGTAGCGGAGACAGTCGCGCCCACATCGGCAGCCGGACCCAGCAGCGAAGCCCCGGCTGCGTCTTCCAGCTCCATCGACGCGCCCGCCGGTGAATCTTCACAAGCACAAGCCAGTGTGGAGTCCGAAGCGGCCACAAAGCCGACGCCAAAACGAAGAGGTGCTGCAACAACAAGGCAAAAGAAAGGCAAGGAGAAGGAGGCTGCGAATGCAGATACTGCAACGGCCGACACTGTTGAAAGCCAGCCCACTGCAGAAGCCCCAGCCTCGGCCGCCTCAAGACCAACCAGGAGACGCACTCGCAAAGCTCAGACAGAGGAAGCTGGCGGAACGGAAGATGGCGATGCGGCGCCTCCCAAAAAGCGGACTAAACGCGCAACAACGAAACAGCGCGAGGATGCGGCAGACGGTGAAACACAGGATGCCGAAGCTGCTCCCACGAAGAGGAAACGTCCGGCCAGGAAGCAAAGCACGACAGACAGCGCGCCGTCAGAGGCTGCAGAAGACGGAACCCCGGCGCCTCCGAAGAAGAAGCGCAAAGAGCGCTCCGTCACACCCGAGGATGCGGAGCAGCAGGAGGTGGACCACAGCGTCCTCAAGATGGGAGACCTGACCAAGGATCTCCGCATAGGCAAGAAGTTCAGCCGGCACGACGAGCTCATCGAGCGCATCCGGCTGCAACGGCAGAAATATCGACAGGATAAGATGGGCAAGAATGGCACGCAGCCGAACGGAGACGCCTCGAGCCAGGTCAACGGAGACAGCCCAGCCCCGGAGAGCAGCAACGGCACGCCCGGCTCCGTGCTCCCCAAGGCCTCGCCCGCGATGCAGGCCATCGGCCCCCAGTTCGAGATCATCGACGGCAACATCGTCGTCAACCAGGCCTCGCTCGTGCACGACCGGCACGCGTACGCCGCGGCCGAGGCCGGCGTCCTCGAGGAGGTCGAGGAGAACGACTTCACGCGCCTCACGACGTCCAACACGTACCTCAAGCCGGGCAAGCTGCGCGGGCCCAACGCCTGGACCGACCCGGAGACGGAGCAGTTCTACCACGCGCTGGGCATGTTCGGCACCGACTTCCAGATGATCAGCAACCTGTTCCCGGGCAAGTCGCGCCGCCACGTCAAGCTCAAGTTCAACCGCGAGGAGCGCCACAACCCGCGGCGCGTCAACGACACGCTCGTGGGCAAGAAGACGGTCGCCATGGACATGGACGACTACGCGACGCGCACGGGCCGCACGTTCGAGACGGCCGCCGCCATCGAGGAGGAGCACAGGCGCCGCGAGGAGGAGCACGAGGCCGCGCAGAAGCGGGCGGAGCAGGAGGCCGCGGACGCGCTGCAGAAGAAGCGCGAGGCGCTCTTCGGCCCCCGCGCGGCTGGCGCGGCTGGTTCCGGCCCGGGAGGAGGAGCAGGATCAGGAGTCGCCGCCGCGGACGCCGGCAGCGAGGGCGCGAGCCAGAAGGAGCCCACGGTCACCGTGGGAGAGGACGGCGTGGAGGAGGTCGACGAGACGAACCTGGCCGCCAAGGCCGCCAAGGGGCGCGGCAAGGGCCGTGGTCGCGGGAAGAAGGGCAAGGCCGCTGCGGCTACTGCCGGAGGCTTTGGCTCCTGATCGGGGAATCTTGGGGAGCTTTTTCATGCCCATCTTGCTCCGGGGGCGTTGGTAGACGGTTGCTTTTTCTTTTTCCATGCGCAAAGGGCAAGAAGTATGGGACGTCGATTGTGCTTCCATACAAGGCTTAAAACGGAATATGATACCCAATAAGACAACCCTCACAAAAACACTGAGGGGAGGTGGTAAAGGTGAGAGGGAAACACGGGTTGTGTAAGGGCTCAGGAAAAGATATTTTAGGGAGTTTGCGGCGAGATGATGAGTTCGGAGCGAATGTTGCAGCATATTATTTCGATTGAATTCATTCTTCCATTCACTGCTATCATACCTGTCGTGTCACTTCCTCTCGCAACCTACCTAACACAGCCAGCCGCCGAGGACCATCGATAGATTCCGTGGTATAACATGCCTTCCATTTAAGAAGGGCCTTGGCCGGGCCTCACACGAGACACAACTCAAAACCTACTTCCCAACCTATCTTGTCCCGGTCTCGGGGTAGGGGGGCCTGGTTAGACTAGATGACAAACAGCACTGGCCCGGTGAAATCGCCCAAAACAAGTTCATAAAGTCCCGTCCCATAAGTAATCTGCAAAGGCTATCATCCATTCCAGTCCAGGCGTTACTTTTCCCTGAAGCTGTGCTTGCGCTTCCACTTCCAAGGGCATCGTGGAATCAAAAATGTCCCATTCCAGGTATCATGCTCCCAAATCTCGTCCGACGGCTCCAAGCCAGAGTTCCGCTCCGTGCTTCCTCGACAGCCGAAGTGCTTACTGCGGGTTGCCACCCTCATCGTCATCGGGTTGGTCGAACAGGAAGTTGGCGGCCAACTCCTCGTTCTTGTCGCACGCAAAGTAGGCCTGGATCGCCTGCTCGCGGTCGAAACCAAGACGACATAGCTGATAGACCTGGTTAGCCATCTGTATCCGAAGAAAATCGTGTCAGTGTCCAGCATGAGACATACCCGCTCAATAGCATCACGCTCCTCCTCCGTCACAGAGATAGCCTGTGCACCAGGGGGCAGCGGAGCGTCATCGTCAGCATCCTCACTCAGGAGGCCGAGGAATTGGTCGGGGTTTGCGGCGATCAGCTGGGCAAGCTGGGGGTTGCCAGCACCGAGCTGCTGCAGAATCGGCTCGAGCATCTGGGGTTGTTGTTGAACGACCTGACGGAGCTGCTGGAACTGGGCATTGTGCCGAAGGAAGTCGAGGTTACCGAGTCCCTGCGCAGCGGCAGCGCCAGCAGCTGCTCCAGCGCCAGCACCGGCGCCCGCGCCACGAGCGCTACCGCGCTGGCCTTGCTGAGCCGCGAGATCGAACAGATTGATTCCGCCTTCCTCGTCACCGCCAGCACCAGCGCTGGGTGCTCCGCCGGCGCCTGCCGTGGCAGCTTGTTGTGCCGGGGCCTGGTGGGCTGGTTGCTCCGGCTGTTGGAGATTCTCGGGGATACCCTAGTGGCAATAGGTCAGTTTCTATCTGCTCTCCTGCGCCGGAGTTCGTGACTGTCCAATCTCACATTCAGAAGGTATTCGACAGCGCGGTCGGGGTTGAAGAAGGCTGCACGCATAGCAGCCTCGATCTGCGATCGCTCAAAGCCCATGGCCTCCATGTTCTCGATAGCGGCGGCGCGCTGCTCGCCGAGTGCCAGGGCATTCGGGTCGTTGTAGTTGCCAGCGGCCTCGCCGCTCCTAGCGGGTGTTGGAGTCGCCGGGGCAGCAGCAGCAGCAGCAGCAGCAGCAGCAGTATTGGACTGGGCGGGAGCCTGAGGGGCGGCAGGAGTTGCGGCGGAGGCAGGGGCCGGGGTTGCGGGGACCGCAGAGGAGGATGCAGCAGGCTCGGCCGCCGGCGCAGGCTTGGGCTCCTTGGGCTGGAATCGGAAAGAGAGATTGATCAATGCAACAGTCCAGCTACCCAGAGCGGTCAGAGGGCGCACCTTGTTCACAACACAGACAACAAAGCCTTTCTCCTCAATCTTGTACGACTCGACAGTGTCCTCATCCTTCAGAATCTTGCCTAAGGGTCCGTCAGTAAGCTAGGGTCTGCATGCGCTGATCGAGGCCAACCAACCAGAGTAGATGAGCTTCTGGTGCTTCGGGTCCCAGCCTCGCTCCTCCGAGATTTTCTGCTTGACAGCAGCGATCTGAAGAGTAATGGTCAGAATGTTGAAGATCATCCCAAGTTCAGGGAGCAGTGTTGAGCGCAAAGTCTGGGTGGGGTTCTCGCGTACCGTCTCCGAGGGCTCACACTCGATGATGAATTTCTGCTGCTTGAGGTCCTGAGGAAGCACGCAGCATTAGCAGGTGTTCGAACATTTGGATCGCTAGAAGCTTGCGTCGCCGGAGCGAGGCGAGGTTTTGCATACCTTGAACGTAACCTTCATGGTGGGCAAATGTTGGGGCAGCTGCTGGGCTGCGTTGCTCGGTTCGGTGGATCAGGGAAGAATAAGAGGTGCGGTTGAGAGGGGCCGGACAAGTTGAAAAGGGCAACTTTGTCGCAGCAGAGATGAGAGGCGTCAGTCTCGCGTGCCTCGAGGAGTTGGGAATGAGGAAAGTGAGGTGGTGGATGGGCGTGCAGTGGCAGGTACTCGAGGTGAGAGAGTTGAGGCAAGGTTGATCCGGAGCCAAGGATGGCGGCCAGTGGCGGAGGTGGAGATGTATGAAGCCGTACCGCAGCAGAAAAAACAAGAGGGTCACAGCGCCTCCGACGGTCGAGATGGCCTGTACAAGTACGACTGGCTACTGATGCCTGCTGGCGGGGTTTTGGTTTGGAGCTTAGAGAAAGTCCAGTCTCGCCCCGCCAAACAACCATCAAATCAAATCAGTCAGGAGTCATTGACTACCGCCACACAGCATTTGAAGAGACCTGCTGCAAAAAGTGCCCCGTGCACGCACCCCTCCACCTATTCACTCTTCCGGCAACACCTCCCACAGCGTCTCTGGATGACGTGGATTTCGAGCACCAGTAAAAGCTCACACACATGTGTCCTGTGTGCTGTGTGCTGTGCAGTCAGTCAGCCAGATGATGACGAGCAGCATATTGCCTGCTTGGGTTATCACCGCCCAAAGCCTGGAATTGTCTATTCTTCGAGCAATGGCTGTCTCTGTGCAGAGCAGGCAATTCAGGAGAGACAGCATTGGAATGCAATCCGCCCATATCAAGCCGGCCTATTGGCTCTGACAACAGTCCACAACGCAACGCGTCGAGTATAATATCACCTGGTCCCTTTCTCTCTTCTTGAATTCCCTTTTCTTCCCTTCCCTTCATACGACCTTCAGTCCGTTGGCATCCTGTTCCTGTTGGCAACAGGGACAAGACCAACCACCAGCACGAATCTTGCCCTGGGGTCAGTAGTGAAGCCACTGCTTCCCAAGAACAAGAGGCACGGCCTGGTCTCTCAGATTTGTCTTATTGTCAATCGATTTGTCAAGTGATCTCGTCGAGTTCTACGACAAGAAAAAAACCCACGCAGCAACGCCTCGCCTCAAATGCTAGTCATCCCAGTGGTATCAATTCCCGGCCTTTCCGTCCCTTTCCCATCCCTTGGGCCTTCTTGCCATCAAAGTCCTTGGCATTCCCCCTCACTACATCCGAGAACAAAAGAAAAATGGCGGAACCATGTCGATTGCTCGATTGTGATTCTGCCTGTCTGACCAGGTTTGTCATCGCGCTCGTTCATAAACCTCTCGAGAGGTATAAGTCATCATGTACGTCATAACCGATCCAGTTCCTTCTCGCCCTCTACCCTCAACTTTCGGCTGTGGTATCCGCTCAGGCTTGTTCGAGAGCCTGCGCTGAGGATCCAATCCGGGATCGGGGGTGTCATCTTTCTCTCCGACTCCTGCTTCTGCTCTTCCTCCTCTTCTTCGGCCTCTTCCCGGAGTTCCGGGGTTGGCGTCTCGCGTTCCGCCGTCCTCCTCCCAAAATCATCAAGACTGCCCTTCCTGCTGAGAGGGCTGGATACGGCGGGAAGGCTTCCGCTCCGCATCCGATGCAATGTGCGCGTGCTATGCCGATGGGTAATCACCTGGCCGGCATTGGGTGCTGCGGTGACCATGGTTCCAGGCGTGGCATTGGGCGGTGGCGTGGGGGAATCCGAGCGGAAGAGCGGATGTATGTGCGATTCACTCGCACTCATCTGCTGTGTGAATTCCGAGCCTTGTGTCCTCGGGCTCGGCATGGACGGGCTGTAGCTCCTGCTACGCCTCCGAGCTCTAGGCGGCTCCAGGTCAAGCGGTGTTCCAGGACTCGGGCTTCGGCTTGTCGTTGGGCTCGCTGGGATCGTCTCCAAGAAGCGCCCGGGCGTCGGGGAGGAAGTGTCCAGCACAGTCTGTCGGTTCTGCGGATCGACAGCAGATGTGTCCCACGAGTCAAACCCGTCATCCGTGCTCGATCTGTCGCGATTCACGGTGGATTCGAACGAAGTTGGCCGACGACTTGACCGCAAGCTCCGCGATGACCGTTGGCTCGCAGGCAGGAGCCGTGTCTTGGAGGAAATTGGCCGAACAACGTTGGACAAGGATGAGCGAATGGAGCTCATTGTCTCGGAGGCAGATCTGCCGCCGCTGGAGCCAGGTGGGCTGCGCGACTCCTGCGACATGCTCTCACGGGTCAAGTGGCCCAAGGGGCTCGTTTGGGAGTACCGGATGGATTTCACGTGTGCTGGCGGTGACCTCTGGCCAGGTTTCTCCCCACGGAACGGTTGCGCACCAGCATCATGGACCCGTCCCAGCACGAAATAAACGACGAGAAACACCAGCTGTGCTGCGAGCGCGAGACCGAGAGCAACCGACGAGCCAACTAGATACGCGGTGGCTTGCGTTCCGAATATTGTTTCGGGAAGTATCTCGCTCGGCGCTTTGCTGAGGCATACTAGAGTTGCCACGCAGAGTATCGCCGCAATGGTGCACAGCGTCAAGCCGAGACCGAACCACAGCCCCGTCGATCGCACCGAGCTGCTCATCTTCACCGACTTCAAGCATGACACTGACATCCACCCAAGCGTCACCAACACCAGTCCTTCCAAGATAGATGATGCAATCGCCGTGATCTTGACGGCAGCGGTCGAGTCCGTCACGACTTGCGCGAGGACGACATGGAGGGCCAGCACTGCAATTGTTGCTAGCACAGCTAGCAGGCCCAGGGTGCATGGAAGAAAGCGAGGCAACGCCATTGTTGCTTGGGCAATAGCGGTTGTGCAGAGGGCACCGCTCTTCCCAATCCTGCGACCTTGCCTCGATCCGGGCGGGCTTGGTCGACGGTCGGCCGGCCAAGGGCCAGGTCAGTTGAGGGCCTCGGAGCAGGCCGCCCAATATAGGCTCGGCTCAAGTGAACCTCAGCGCAGCAAGGACGGCAACAGGTGTTCCTTGCTTGGCACAGGAGCAAAAGGACAAGAATTCGAATAGTCCCTCAATTTCGAGGTTGGACGCGACACCAGGATATGCTAAGATATCTTGGAAATGGTTGATCATCCGACGGGGGGGTGATTTGGTTCGAGAAGGCAGACACACAAAGAATGATGGAGCTGTCCGCGTCGGGGTCGAGCTGGGTAATATGATTGCGATTCACCAGCCGCTTCTCGAATTGTGTGGTGAGATACCGGGTCAGAGTCGTCTACTGAACTTGTTCTAGCAGGCTGATGCATCGATATCGCAGCACCCCTTCGGTGTAAGTGGGACCAGGAATGTCAATCCCGGTTGCCAGTGTGGGCACGATCGACGACCAGGAAGGATAAAAAGTTGCACGAGGCAAGATGGAAAAGGCTGGATATTCGAGATGCCGGCCTCAATAACAGGCCGCGCCGTTATTTTCTGCCTTGGGTATGACAAGGCCGCAATAGCACCGTCCGGATGGCGAAGGAATGGAAGAATGTCGAGAGGATGAACGGGATGCCTCTCTCTCGTCGTCCTGTTGGGAGTCGCTGCTGGGCGGCGGGGCGTATAGCCTAAAAGTAGAAGCTGGAGACGCGTCGCGTGAATTGCGCCCAGGCTCTGTTTTCGATGCGAAAAAAAGCGGGATGGGAGGGGCAGAGACACAGAGAGCAGGGCACACCCCTGCTAGGCACGGTTTGCCGGGTCCAAGACGATAGGTACTCTGCGAGAAGCTTCAGACGACAAGGATCCCGAGTCTCAAGCTTGCCTGTCCCGGGCCAATCGAGCAATCTTGGGAGGTGTTCCGTTTTCTCCAAAATTCCCTGGACCGATTGACAATATTCCGGTTCTGGTTTGCAATAGTCGCGGATCTTAGCACCGACGCAGACGACGAGTCGGAGGACGACGGCCAACAAACAGCAGGCAAACGGAAAAGCAGGCTGCATATAAGCGATTTCATGCGCAATAATGGGTTTCTGACGACGTGGTTGGTCGATGGTCGCTTGATGAGGTCGGTCAGCAGCTGCAGTTGACTCTCTGTTTGCGCAACGACAGAAAGCAGTACGTCCGCAGGTGAAGTGAGACTGCTTGCTTGCTCAAGAGTTACCTTCACAACGGCCACAACTGGGCGGCCGGCTCCTTTTTCACTACCTGCATGCAGCCATTCACTCCAGACCCAGAATTGCCGAAAAGAAGAAAATTTTCATCCGCCCCCAGGGAGCCTCACAGAGAATCTCTGAGACGAGGACCAAGCGACGGATATGTGGATGTGTTTGTTATCCTTGTCCACAACAGGAGCGAACCAACGATTGGCGTCACGGTCCAGCGTTACAGCAACGTGTGGTGGGAGGCCAGGCAGTGTGGGAGTCTAGAATGCACTGCGCACGGCTCCGTTTACGTCGCAGTCTCTGCCGTGGCAGCAGCGGTCTTACTGACTCGATCGGGCAAAGATGCGTTGGCAACGGAAGACATGGTGATTGAAAATCTTGATGTGTAGCCGTTTCCAAGTACCGATACTTTTTGCACCGCAGCGCAGCTTGACAAGTACCAGGAAGCCCATGGGACATCGCGTGCTTTGCTTTTTGCGTCCCCTCCACCCCTCCACCACCCGGATCGCAGGATGCTAAAAGGCTTCGGTCTCCACTCTTGACAATCGGGATCATGCTTGTCGGCCTAAGCGGCGTCGTCTTCCGACGACGCTGGGCTCCATGATGAACTTTTGATGGCTGCCATGGCAGCACGCGTCGAGTGTTGGGCCAGGCCTGACTGCCATCTTGACTCGGTTGCTGCAGCACTAGAAACGACGGTCTGTGATGGTCAACTTGCCACCGTCTGTCAGGGCTGCATCAGAAAAGGAAAGAAAGGTGGACTCGTTGTTTCTTTTTTCCCTCTTCTTTCTTCCTACTTCGTACATGCCCACGGTGGTGGCCCGTGGGCTTGGGGGAACGCAGGTACGAGATGCGTTCTTCTGCTGCTGTGGTTGTATTGGTGATAGCATCCGGCCTAGGGCTGGTACGGCGATGCAGGTCCAAACAGACGAAGAGACCTCTAAGATTGGGCGGAATCGCAGTCCCTCCAGCCGGATTGGGCGGGGAGAGATGTGCGCAGCATCCGAAGCGGGGTTCCTCTTGGGATGATGATGATGTTGTACATGTACCAGGGATCCGGACAAGGTTTCTCATGACGAAAAAAAACGGCCCTGGCGGCCATCCCTCCCCAGCAGCAGATCGTTTCGCTCATCAATCAGTAACTAACTACCGGGGCAGGTGGAGAAAGAGGACGAGAGCACAGATTCTTCGTCCTTTTTTCTCTTTCCGTCTCTCGCACGCACAACCGAAACGGAGCATCTCGCGTGACAATGCGCGAGCGCCACGACGGCGGCCAAAAGGCTCGACGCCAAAAGAGGGACGGTACGCTGTCCGGTCTATCGCCTAGAGGCTGGTCCCGCGATCTGAGACCGCGCCGGTCAATGGGAGGACGAGTACGCCATTGGCACAAAAACGTGCGTACCCGAGATTTGCCCATTTTGGTGAGTCGCCAATTGAACTCGCGTGGTGCTGTATTTCCGCCGTCTTGCGAAAACGGAAGTAAGACGGAGCACACACGCACACACACACACGCATCTCACAACGCGGGTCTCGCGTCATCAAAGGAGATTACCAGGTTACAGCAAGATTGCTCCCTCCAGCCTCTTGGCTCACTGAGCCGCCCAGCGCCTTCTCAGCACGTTTATTGTCGCAAGGGTTCTTAACAGGGCATGTCCTTGGGGGCTAGGTATTCTGCGGTGATATATTAACCTTCCAGTCCTCGCTGTCTCTGTGCCCCAAGAATGGCGGGGGCGCTGGACTGCACATGGTGCGACAAGAAAACCGGGTATGCCAATGGTGAGTGAGAAACAGGTCGGTTTTTCTGGCCTTCATCTCCGAGCAATCCTTCTTGTGCAGCGGCCACCCTTGGTCACTGGTCAGGTAGGGCGGCCGGTGTTTGAGGATCGCGCAGGCCAGTCCACACGGCTCGGTGAGCTCGTCATAGTCGCCGTTTCAGGGCTCTGGGGAGGGATGCGGGAATAATATTTCAGAAGAGCAGAAAGCGTCCATGTTCGAAATCCGTGCGTGGTCCGGACGGTCAATGGCTCATCATCTCCGTCCCCGTAACACTCCCACGCGAATGAAGTTCTTATACGTCAGGTTTGTTGGCAGTTCGCATGTCGTTGCTTTTTGCTACTATTGCAATAGTTCCCGCGCATTCCAGTCAAGGCCGCGCCACCATGCTCCGTAGATCCAAAAGATGGGGGTAGCGTCCGCCCCATGAGACCGGCGTGCGCGCCATCAACTAACTGAGCTCTGTTGCTGTGAGTGAGCTCCGAGACCCTCTAGGCTCTGGATGATCAGCACTGCAGCCAGCACGGTCAAATAGTAGATATGGTTGTCTCATCTGTATGAGGGAAGCCGTCACTCAATAGCCAAGTCTGCTCCGTAGTTGTGTCACACCTCACGCAGCTGAACCACGTTCTCACGAGCCAAGAAGGACTCCGCGATGGCGACGACGCGTGTGACCAGCCAGGCCAGCCAGCCAGCCAGCTTCTTCAGACCTCTCAGCTCGTGTGACCACCGGCCCGCCCGGAGCGTTCTCGATCTCAGCTGAGCCGCATCGCTGAACGGTCCGGAGATTTCGCGGCGCGATATGCAAATCATCCAATGTCCCTTCACCTCCAGATAAGGATTTTGTGGGACAATTGGGACGAACCGGCGTCGAGCAACACTGGAAAACACACGGCGAGATCTGCAACGGCGTTCTGAAAGAGCCGCAAGCCACGACCTTTGAAGATGGGACAGGGAATCGCCCAGGCGGTCTCGAACGCAGACTATCAGGAAAGGCGAGATGCTAGAGTGTCTCTGTGAATCCACTTCTCGGTCTGACTTTCTGGAGCTTGACTGCGGGCATTGTTTTGTTTACTATTTACTTGTTTTGATGCTTTGTTAGTAAAGAAAAACATCCAAGGTGTTTGCGGGGACACATCCAGACACGAGAATCCACCTGGGTTCTTACTTGTACTTTTTACCCACCCAGTCTTGCAAGCTCGAGATCAATAGTCTCGGCCTAGCTGTGATGATCTCCACCTGAGAAATGACATCTTCAGGCGAGCTCATCCTCTCGCTTCCAGGGCTCCGGAGTGGATCAACGGCGTCGAGAGGGGTCGCTCCGGGGCTCCGGAGCCGACCAACTGCTTGGAAACACCAGACATTCGGGCAATCCTCACCGAATCGGTGTCATTGGCCGGCAGATCCCCCCTTCCATGGCGTGTCGGTCCGCGGTTGTCTGCGAGGTCGTCGGGAGAAATCATGCTTATCCAAGCTGTGTTCACCGCCTGCTCGGCGGGCTCGGGGTATCATTGTGTCGAAAGAAAAAAAAGCTGGGGTAAAGTGACGTATCGCTTGCCCATGCGACTCCCCTCAATTCTGGACTTGGGCAGGCCAGCAACTGCAGAGAATAGCCAGAATGAATGATCACTATGTCTTCGGCTCCGCAGCAGATCGGCCTCTGATTGCTGGATTTGCATATTTCCTTGGCCTTATTTGCTACGATGTAACTGTCCTTGCGATGCTGCAATTGGGTACAGTATTTGGGATTTCATATTTGCGGTTCAAAAGACTTCAAAATGGCAAAAGCGCCGCCCTCTTCTTTCGCGATCTGATGGCACCAGTGCGGCCCCTAGGTTCCAAGTCGGATCTGGGTACGATTGGTTCTTGTTGCTGTCAAGATGCGGTTTCTCTCTGCACTTGTCGCAGCCGTAGGCTGGCTGTCTTCGGCGCTGGCCACCTCCAACAATCTCACCGATCTGGTTACTTGGGACAAGTACAGCCTCAGCGTCAACGGCACTCGAGTTTTCATAAAGTAGGAGGGCAGGGTTTCTAGGATTAAACAGGAGCTTTGGGCTAACAATGGAAATCAGCTCGGCCGAGTTCCACTATCAAAGGCTTCCTGTACCCGAGTTATGGCTGGTGAGACCTGATCAAGAGGCAAATCGGCATAGCCAATGGAGACTGACTTGATCACCGCTTTGCCGTAGGACATATTTCACAAATTTAAAGCCAATGGGTTCAATACAATCAGGTAGGGTCTTTTTCTCCCACAAAAAAAACGTTTCTACCAAACAGGACTTACACACTAGTTGCAGTATATACATCTTCTGGTCCTACCACTCGCCGTCCAAGGGCGTATTCGACTTCGAAAGCCCCGGGAAAGATCTCCAGAAGCTCTTTGACTATGCCAAGGAGGCCGGACTTTGGGTGGTCACCCGAGCAGGGCCATACTGTAATGTACGTAGCCGCATCGGCCCAGCCGTTGCTCGACTAACGAGGATATCTGCCCAGGCTGAGACCAACGGCGGTGGCCTGGCCCTCTGGGGCTCTGACGGAAGCATGGGAAACTTGCGGACCAGCGATGAGACCTATCATCAGGCATGGCTGCCCTGGATCAGCGCCGTGGGCAAGATCATCGCCAGGAACCAAATCACCGAAGGAGGCGTGAGTCCTCCCTGCCGCTGCCTCTTCGGATCCCTTTGCTTCCCGATGAGCCCACGATACTAATGCAAACCCTCCCCCCCTCCCAACCCTCAGCCCGTCATCCTCAACCAGGTCGAGAACGAGCTCCAAGAGACCCGCCACGACCCGGCCGACACGAAGGTCGTCTACATGGAGCAGCTCAAGGCGGCCTTCCGCGACGCCGGCATCGTCGTGCCCCTGGCGCACAACGAGAAGGGCATGCGCTCCCAGTCCTGGTCGACCGACTACCAGGACGTCGGCGGCGCCGTCAACGTCTACGGCCTCGACAGCTACCCGGGCGGCCTGTCGTGCACCAACGCCGACGCGGGCTTCAAGGTCGTGCGCACCTACTACCAGTGGTTCCAGAACTACTCCTTCACGCAGCCGAGCTACGTGCCCGAGTTCGAGGGCGGCTGGTTCTCCGCTTGGGGCGCGGATGTGTTTTACGATCAGGTGAGACTCGTGAGCCCGGACAACCACGAGATTGTCGTGACTGGCTGACCCTGTGGTGTTAGTGCGCAACAGAGCATGATCCGGCATTTGCGGATGTATACTACAAGAACAACATTGGTCAGCGAATCACGATGCAGAACATCTACATGACCTATGGTGGGACGAATTGGGGACATTGTAAGTGCCTTACTCCGTCTATACATTATTCTCCGCGAATATTCTGACGACCTTGCTTAATTCACATAGCTGCCGCCCCTGTGGTCTACACCAGCTATGATTACAGGTACTTACACAGCTCCCTTTCTTTACCTGACTAGCCCAATTTCATTATATCTCTGACCACCTATTTACAGTGCGCCTCTCCGCGAGACTCGCCAGCAGACAACCAAGCTCTTGCAGACCAAGCTGGTCAACATGTTCTCCGGCTCGTCGCCAGACCTGCTCAAGACATACATGGTCGGCAACGGCACGGGCTTCCGGGTCTCGTCCAACGCCATCTGGACATGGGTGCTCAAGAACCCGGACACGGGAGCCACGTTCACTGTAGTGCAGCAAGACAGCACGCCCTCGAGGGCCGATGTCTCGTTCTCCGTCGACCTCGACACCAGCGCTGGCATGATCACCGTGCCGAACGTGGCGCTCAATGGCCGACAGAGCAAGATCCTCGTCACTGACTACAGCTTCGGCGCACACACGCTGCTGTACGCCTCATCGGACGTAGCCACCCACGGCGCATTCGGCAGGGACGACAGCGTGCTGGTGATGTATCTCAAGGAAGGACAGACAGGCGAGTTCGCCTTCAAGGGCGAGGCGAACCTCACGTTCGCGACCTCCGGCCCGTCGGACCTGACATCATCCACAGTCGGTTCCCGCCAGGTCTTCACATACACCCAGGCAGCGGGCAAGACCGCCGTCAGATTCTCCAGCGGCGCCCTTCTCTACCTCCTCGACCAGCCCACGGCCTGGCAGCTCTGGACGCCGTCCACCTCGTCTGACCCGCACTTCCAGCCCGACAAGCAAATCTTGGTCCTGGGCCCCTACCTCGTGCGCTCCGCCTCGCTCAGCGGCTCGACCCTGCGGATCCGGGGCGACACCGACGCCGCCGTCACGCTGGAAGCATACGTGGGAAGCAGCAGCAGCACCGAGGTCAAGACCATCGAGTGGAACGGCAAGAGCCTGCCCGCCACAAGGACCGGCTACGGCGCCTACACGGCCGACATCCCCGGCCCGGGGGCCCGGCGCATCGACCTCCCGTCGCTCAAAGACCTGCGCTGGCGCGCCGCCGACGGCCTGCCCGAGGCCGACCCGGCCTACGACGACTCCCGCTGGACCGTCTGCAACAAGACCTCGACCCTGTCGCCCGCGAAGCCGCTCACCCTGCCCGTGCTCTTCTCCTCCGACTACGGCCTCTACACGGGCGCCAAGATCTACCGCGGGGCCTTTTCCGGCTCGGCCGCCGTGGCGGGCGTCAACATCACCGCCTCGGGCGGCCTCGCCTTCGGCTGGTCCGCCTGGCTCAACGGCGTCTTCGTCGGCGGGCACCCGGGCAGCGCGAGCCTGACCACCACCACGGCCGCGCTGGCCTTCCCGCCCTCGGCGCTCAGGGGCAAGGGCGAGGGCGACAACGTCCTGACGGTGCTGGTGGACTACCACGGCCACGACCAGACCAGCACGGCCAAGGGCGTCGAGAACCCGCGCGGGATCCTCGGCGCCGCGCTCGTCGGCAGGAGCGCCCGCTGCGCGCCGCCCAAGTTCAAGACGTGGAAGATCGCGGGCAACGCCGGCGGGGCCGCGGGGTACATCGACCCCGTGCGCGGGCCCATGAACGAGGGCGGCCTGCACGCCGAGCGCCTGGGCTGGCACCTCCCCGGGTTCGACGCCGCGGCCTCGCCGGCCTTCAACAACAACCACAACAACAACGCCTCCGACGACTCGCCCCTGGGCGGCGGGCTCGCGGCGGCGGGGGCCGGCCTGCGCTTCTACACGGCGACCCTGGACCTCGCGCTCGACGCCGACCTCGACGCGCCCCTGGGCATCGAGCTCTCCTGCCCCCCGGGCACGGTCGCCCGCGTCGTGCTCTGGGTCAACGGGTACCAGTACGGCAAGTACGTGCCGCACATCGGCCCGCAGGCGCGCTTCCCCGTCCCGCCGGGCGTGCTCAACACGCGCGGCGCCAACTCCCTGGCCGTCAGCGTGTGGGCGCAGACGGAGCGCGGCGCCCGGCTCGACGGGCTCAGGCTCTTCAGCTACGGCGTGTACGAGAGCGGGTTCGACTTTGGGCGCGACTGGTCGCATCTGCAGCCCGGCTGGAGCGACAGGAGTCAGTATGCGTAAGCGTGTTATGTTAGGGGTGGAAGTGTGACGATGTGGTGACCATGTTCATCGACGGGGCTGTGGTAATAGACTTGCCTCGAGATGCATCAAGCCCATTGAGACCTCTCTCGATGAACTTCCACCAACTATCCTGGTCCCTGGCTTTGAATGGTCAATCAAGAGCTCTATAGATTCCCCAGAACCTATCCCAATCACCTCGTGCATGTCCGGATGAACTAGATTCCAAGCAGTCAAAATCACCTGTATATAGACAGGGCGGCTTTTTCTCAAAGACATGCCTGGATTGCATCCCAGCCAAATGGGTTTCGTCAGATAGCTTTCCCAAATACCAAGTTTCCCCAACCCAAAAGCATTCGTATCCTCCTTTATGCTAGGATACCGCAGTGATGCATACATCGTACAAATCGTCGCCCGAAATGATTCGCTCTCTAGGAGTATCAAGGGCCCCCAGAACGCCGTTCCATACCGATACAAGCCTCGTACAAGAACATCTTTCGAGGCACAGCCTCAGAAATTGTGATACACCCTCCCATAGCAAATGCAGCAGCTCTTTGTGGACACGACAAGCCACGCAGACTACTGCAGCTAAGTCAAAGAACCGGCCATGCGTCTATCGTTCTCCTGGGATTCTTTAATGACTGATGAGGTATCCTCCGCTTGCTCGATAGCTTTGCTTGGCCTGCCTTCAAAATGCAAACGTAAACTTGGTAGTAAAACAAGGGTATCGTCGAAAAGTAACAGTCAGTCATCATGATGCCGCTCTGCTTCAGTGTTTCCAAGACCGGGCCGGCCTAGGCTGGCATGTTGATGGCCTTGGGGCTTTCTTTCTTCATCTGTTCTGCCGCTGCCGCTTGGGATGGGCCGGAGTCTTTGGGCCGATGATCGGAAGGCGCCCGATCCCGAGGTCCAAGTCTTCGTCCGACCTCGTGGACCGCAGGATTGTCAATCGCTGGTTCCATGGGCGACAGCCGCCTTTCCGGCGGTGCAGGCGACCTCTCCACCGGGTCATATGCGGTGGAAGGGTAAGGCGGCAAACCGCGCTACGTTTGTCAGCCGATGATCCCAATAGCGCGCGTCCTGGGCACAATACTCACTGGCTGTGTCCTATCGGCAGAGAGAGGCCTGCTGCCTCTTCGGGAAGCGAAGTCTGACGGGCCAGGCGACGTCCGATATGCAGGTGCACTCGCAACTGCGCCGTGATCTTGTGGTGTGAAGTGCGGTACAGTGGGCGCGAGTGGTGCCGGGCTGATGGGTGCAAAACTACTCGGGGCATTTGCTCGAGCCTGTGCTTCTCTGTCGGCCTTTGAGGGCCGTCCCCGCTTCCTTCCTGTACCTGTCGGAGTCACCTGGGGGCCTTGACCGGTGGCCATTCCCGTGTAGCCGTTGTGTGGCGGTCGAGGCTGGATGCGCGTGTACGGAGCTGCGGTTGACGCAGGCTCGAGGGAGGGTGCGACAGCAGGTCTTTTGGGGCCCGGTGCGTCAAAGTCGCTGGGCGATTTGCGCTTTAGGGAGGCGTCATGCTGGGCATGGAGAAGAGGGTTGGACGGCTGGTCGACCCTGATGCCCAAGCTCCTGGCTGCCTCAACACACTGATAAATGTTGCGACCTGTATCACTCGAGAGTTAAGGAGCAGTTCTGCTTGGGCATTCTAGCGATCTGAGCTTACCACTAGGGATTTGCATGGAACACCAGTCGGGTTGAACCCCTTGCTGCTTATAGAAACCGACAATCGACTCGAGATTGATTTGGCTTGCTTTGATCATCTCGGCGACCACGAAGCGCTGGTTCACGATGTTAAAACTTGCACCTCCACACCGAGCATGCCCACGTATGCACAGACGAGACAAACCTTTTCTGCCTCACTAAATGAGTAGTCCATTGCGATGAGCCGAGAACTTCACTTGGATTCGAGCAGAAACGAGCGAGGTGAAGGATAGAGCTCCTTGTCGCGAGTGCGGATTCATCTGAGGGGTCTTCCGATGGTAAAAACACCTTCCGGCTCTGCAGACTGTGGGCAAGTGGCAATGTCGAAGTGGCCAGGCAGCGAGGCGGTTTCAACGAGAGTAAAGCTGCGGGCAAGGGATCACGCAGGGGACCTCGTCGCTGCGCTTTGGGAATGTCAGTTCTGGATCTCGCTGCGCCGACTCTCGGCTGCCACCACTGCCAGGCGATCGAAAGGATGCTCCGCCGCGGGGTTTGTCAAGAGATGGTTCCTGTGACATGGAGGCCTGGAGTGCATACAGGGCTGACCCGGGAGAACTGGACGCGCCAAACGGGTTCGGCCTGCACCTGCGGGCGCGCGTATCCTTCTCTTTTGAGAAGCTGTCAGGGGAGACCCTGGTCGCACAGATAAGGCCGGGATGTGAAAGCAGGTAGTCTAGGTACTTGGTAATGACGAGCGTGCTGAACCACGGTTCTGGTTCGGACCAGAATGGGGAGGAGAAGAATAGCTGGAGAAGATCCGAAGCGCGCAAAAAAAATAAACAAGGCGATCCGAGTTGAATTGCTCTCAAGACTCTAGAAAGTCAAGAGAGGGAGGGAAAGCCCGAGTGTAGTTGCAGTCGACTGCTCCGTAAGAGAAGGCACGAACCAACCAAGAAGACTGTTGCAGGCATGTACGAGGAGTTGGCTGTTCAAGGTTACCGGGGATATCCCAGCTGGACGAGACTTTACGCTGGTCCCCCGCCTGGCATCCGAGGACCTGTATTTGTATTGTCTGCAAGGCGGGCGAGTGTGAGCCGTTGAACTCGCTTAATCCTGAGCAAAGAGCCTCAAAGACCAGTCGCCGTCTAAATCCGTCCTTTTCGGTGTCTTTAATCAAGTGCCGCCGTTGGAGTAACTTTGGGGGAAGTCGGAGGCAGCCTGCGCGGGAGCGGCAGGGTTTGGTCCTACAAGTGCTGAGGCCACCGGTCCGTGATGTCAAAGCTCCCGGCCCCAGCGTGTTGTCGCTAATACTTGAGTCTGCAAGTCGCTTGTAACCGGCCACGAACCGCCAGGCCAGCTCGCAAGTGTTTCGTAGCACCAGCACAATGGTGAACCAAGACAACGATCAAGACAGTTTGGGGGGGCGGGTGGGAGCGGGCTCTTCGGGCTGAGTCTGCTTGCTACAAGTAGTCTTGGCCCTGCAGCCCTCCCTTGCCTCCCTGTCTTTCTGTCTGTCTCGTCTGTTTTTACAAGTCGCATGCAGGAGAGCGTCAGTCGTCAGTCCTCAGTCGGGTGAGCGAGCGAGCGAGCGGGAGTTCGAGGGTAACAGATACCAACCCTCGTCATGCCGCTAACGCTCACCAGATGACTTGCGAGATGCATGAGAAGCTCTCTCGTAATTCCCATCCCATGCAGCAACTCGCATCCGGAACTGGATCCAGATGGGGGACTCGAGCTGAGTGGCCAACCGGGCTGCATCCATTTCCCATGGCTGCATATATCAGTCTCGGACGACCAATGGGCGCGGGGCACCTGACCAACCTCTCCAGCTTTGCTTCTGATACACACCCGGAGCCCTGAACTGTGCACTCTCCCTCTGCACAATCTCCAGCTTGGCGCTTGGAAAAGTGTAAAATGCCCCGAGCGAACGCTAGACCTTTTGTCAGATGCAGATCTCACATTGGAAACCCCCAGACAGCCTTTCCGACCAGAAGTGCGGGGACTGAGGATGGATTTCTGACCTTGTGTCCTCCAGACCGGCGGCACGAATTGATTGACTTTTAGCGCTTGGCGCATCCCTCCGCAGACTTGGTGTGCGCGGGCACACACACACACACACAAAGCATACGGGCGCGGGCACACCTATCCGAGGATAAATACCCAGGACGGGCCTTGCAAGCACAAGTCGATCCGGGCCTGACACTGCTTCTGATTCTGATCTCCTTCTTTTCGAGGCCCGACGTCGAAAAGTGGGACATCAACCTGCCATCTGGCCCTCTCGCGCTCTCAGTGGCTCGAGACTCTGGAGCAGCCTGCCAATGGCATCGCGAGGTCTCTCATCCGCCATCACACAGGACGGGAGCTAAGAACTCCCCCCAGGATGGCGGTCCTCTCTGGGGGCCCATGTCCCCAAGAGCCGCATCGTGGTCGTCGATCACGGGGCCTCGTCCATGACCCGCAGCGGACGGCCGTTGATGTTGATATATGAGTCGACCGGGAAGAGTAGAAAGGAAGTCGTCTGTCTGAAAAGGTTGTCTCTGCCAACACACCAAGGCATTTTGCAAGTCGGCGGTCAATCGAGGGTGCTCGCAATCACTTTTTATAGAGGCCATGCACATCCCACCGCTCTTCCGGCTGCTTGGAATTTACTCCACCCTTGCTGCACGATGCGTTGGCAAAGTTGAAAAGCCAGGTTGGGGGGACATGGCCAGACGGCAATGCTTCTGAGACCGCACCCATGGCTGAAATGGCGGCTTCAACGATAACCAAGGGAGCAATGCCCGATCTGTGGCGAGAGGCACTTTCTTGCCAATCCGCCGCGCGCGGGGGTGCTGGTTGCATGGCGACATGCGCTCTCGATATGGTCCGTCACTCAACTACAGGACCACGTACACGTAGTCTACTGATTATTGGGCCTGGCATCGGCGACTTGTCTGTGGGGGGCATTGGAGTACGGTAAGTTCTGTACGGAGGTTCTCTCTCTATCTCGCCCTCTCTCATCCTCCAGCTCTTTACACATGTAAATACGATAGCTGGGCCATGGTATCGCGCCACTGAAACACCGTCCTGGGTGGATAGAAAGCTGTAGTGGCATCTTTACCACCAGTATCAGCATCATGGATCAAACCGGCCGGACCGGAGCAAGGAGAAGGGGCGTGCTCTATCATTGACTTCTTGGACGGGCAACAAACCTGCCTGCAGCAGACTTCATTTTCAGTTCTTTCAGCGTTGGGGGGACCTCAAGGCTGCATCGATGGGACCCATCAATGGAATGCGGTTGATTTTCACTGTAAACCTCAGCCGCCCTGGCGCTGTGAATCTGTGATACAGTGACTGGGCCCCTGGCAATCCCATCCATCCAAACCCAACGTGACGGGCCAATCACCCCAAGCTCAAACACCCCAGCACTACTGTTTAGCGATCCCCACAGCCTGGACTGTTTGTTGCACGCTACTAAGACTCCGCTACCCTCTTGGTCAAATCAAGAGCCATTGTTCCCGGCAGCCAGCTCAAATTGTCCACCACCACCACCACCACACGGACGGCCTTTCACCTCTGCCTCGCCTCGCCTTGACCATGAACCTGTGACGGCCACTTCATTGTCTCCTCGCGCAATTTTGCATCCCCGGCTCCATTGTCCACGGCCGCAAAAGCAGCATTGACGAACAACAGGCAGGCAATCGCCATTCACTGCTGGCCACCATCCATCTCGATCTATGCCCCCTCCCGTCCTCTCCCTTTAAAAGAAAAAAAAAAAACTGGCGCAAATCTCCTCGAGGGAAGAGCTGCCATGTCGCAAACCTACACGTAGCTCCGCGCGCCGCCCACTCACTTTTTAAACCTCCCGCCAACGACGCTCCGTCCGTGTCCGTCTGCTCTCTCACTTATTCTTCCCCCCTCGGACGGCACATTCCTGCTTATTGCCCGACCAAAATCCCCAGCTTCTTGTCCTTGGCAAACTTGAATCTACGCTCTCTACACCAATCCTGCTGTACGCCCTCCTGCTTGCATTCCTCTCTCCAATACCCGGCGTCTTCTCCTTTTACGTTGCGTCCTCTCCCTCTCCCTCTCCCGGATCGCCCAGGCCTGGCCTCGTGCACGTCACTAGCGCAATGGAGGATGGGGAGCGCACGACAGGCGCGGCGGGCAGTCCCAGCGTGGGCGAGAAGTCGGCCATCAACGGAAGCAGGGTGAAGAAGGAGCGTGGCAGCAGATCCCCGAGTCCGAGTGGTTCTCGACACCAATCAAGATCTTCGAGCATGTCACGAGGCGATGTCAAACCGGGCAGCGACAGTGCCTCGACTCCCGGCACAACGCCAGCGCCGAAGCTCACGCGCAAACCCTCGCAGCGGGAAGCCGGCCGCGCTGCTCCCCTCTTCGACCACCTCACCGATGTTACCGAGCAATCATGTCAGCACTTCCAGGTCATCACCGACTGTCTGTACGGTTCAAAACACATGGGCTCGTCTGAACACGATGTCCTCGATTGCGACTGTGCTGAGGAGTACCGTAAGTCAACCCTCGGTTTTGAGCAACCTTTTCCCATGTCCTCGAATGCCTGCTAACCCACCCACCTTTCTCGCAGGTGACGGCCGCAACTATGCGTGCGGAGAAGACTCTGACTGTATCAACCGAGCCACCAAAATGGAATGCGTCGATGGCGACTGTAACTGCGGGCGAGGGTGTGAGAATCAGCGCTTTCAACGCAAGCAATACGCCGACGTCTCGGTGATCAAGACAGAAAAGAAGGGGTTCGGTCTCCGAGCGAATTCGGATCTGCAAGCTAACGACTTCATTTTTGAGTACATTGGCGAGGTCATCAACGAACCGACTTTCCGGCGGCGCATGATGCAGTACGACGATGAGGGCATCAAGCACTTCTACTTCATGTCGCTGACCAAGCATGAGTTTGTCGACGCCACCAAGAAGGGCAACCTGGGCCGTTTCTGCAACCATTCGTGCAACCCCAACTGCTACGTCGACAAATGGGTTGTGGGCGAGAAGCTGCGCATGGGTATCTTTGCGGGGCGGAACATCAAGGCCGGCGAAGAGCTGGTCTTCAACTACAACGTGGACCGCTATGGCGCTGACCCCCAGCCTTGCTATTGCGGCGAGCCGAACTGTACCGGCTTCATTGGCGGCAAGACCCAGACGGAGCGTGCCACCAAGCTTCCTCTGGCGACCATCGAGGCTCTGGGTATCGACGACGGTGATAGTTGGGATACCGCGGTCGCCAAGAAGCCACGCAAGAAGAAGCCCACCGAGGACGACGAAGAGTACGTTAATAGGGTACAGCCTCGCGGCCTCGCGGAGGACGGTGTCACAAAGGTCATGGCGGCGCTCATGCAGTGCAAGGAGAAGTGGATTGCAGTCAAGCTGCTCAGCCGCATCCAGCAGGCCGACGACGAGCGCGTGCTGCATCGCGTGGTCAGGATGCACGGCTACCAAATCCTCAAGACAACCCTCACCACATTCAGGGACGACGCCAACGTCGTCCTGCAGATCCTCAATGTTCTCTACAGTTTCCCCAGAGTGACCAAGAACAAGATCTCGGATTCCAAGATCGAGACTACGATCGAGGAGCTTGCTTCGTCAGACCACGAAGACATTGCTGCCGAGTCAAAGCGCCTGCTACAGGAATGGAGCACGCTCGAGACAGCCTACCGCATCCCGCGGAAGAAGTTCGATCCCACGGCAACGCCCGTGGCCTCGTCATTTGACTCGCGACGTGGCGCAGGGCGCGAGCCCGAAGTTGTCAACAAGCCTCCCTCTCCTTTCCATAACGTGTTGATCCCCAAAGGACCGCGCAGCAACATGCCCCAGCGCAACAACAGGTTCTTCAACCAGCAGCGACCTCGGCGCTCGCAAAACTATGGCCTCCCCTCCGGGTGGTTCTCCGCCACTGATCAGTCCGGTAACACCTACTACTACACCAAGAGCGGCACCACCACCTGGCAGAGGCCTACAGCCCCCGCGGACAAGCCGGCAGCGACCAAGGGCCCCTCTCAGGCGCAACAAGATAAGGATGCTGTTCAGAACATTATCGACAGCTTGACTCGCGATCCGCCGCTGCGCAAATCGAAATCCCAGACTCAGACCCCCCAAGCTGCCGACACACCTGTTCAGGAGGCAAAGAAGGAGAAGTGGCGTTCTTACCCGATCGAGAAACAGAAAAAGATCTACGAGAACACAGTAAGCCCGACCCCCACCCTTGTTTTACTTTGGTCGACATGATGTTGTTCCTAGCTAACGCGAAATTTCAACAGCTTTTCCCCTCCATCAAGTCCATCACTGACAGGTACCGCCACAAGCTGCCGAAGGAGGAGCTGAAGCGCTTCGCAAAGGAGGTCAACAAGAAGCTGGTGGAGTCTGACTACCGCCACGACCGCGTGTCGGACCCGACGCAGGTCACGGCCAAGCAGGAGAAGAAGGTCAAGAGCTACGTCAAGGACTTCTTTGACAAGGCCGTGAAGAAGCACCAGGAGCGCGAGGGCCGCCGCGCCGAGCGCGCCGTCACGGAGGGCTCCGGCGCCCAGGCGGCCGATGCGACGACGACTATGGATCTGGACACGCCTGCCAAGGAGGGCGCGGAGGACGTGGCCATGAGCGACGACGAGAACGCCGCCTCGCCCGCGTCGTCGGACCGCAAGCGCAAGCGGGCCGACGAGAACGACGGCGAGGACGCGTCGCCCACGAGCCTGACGCCGTCCGAGGCGCCGCCGTCGGTCAAGCGCCTCAAGGAGGACGACGAGGCCGCGCCCAGCCCGCCGTCGCCTCCGCCCCCGCCGCCCGAGAGCGCTAGAGGCGCCGCCATCGCGGAGGAGCAGGAGCGCATGCGCGAGCAGGAGGAGGCGCTGATGCGGGAGAACGAGGAGGCGCAGCGCCTCGCCGACGAGGCGGAGAAGCGCGGGGAGCACAACGGGGAGCACGGCGGCGGCGGCGGCGGCGGCGATCCCGCGACCAACGGGGTGGTGGCGAAGAAGCTTGGCCGTGAGCAGCAGCACCCGGCGGCGGTCAACGGCGCGGTGGGGGCTATGGACCTCGACGAGGAGCTCGGCAGGGATCAAGTCCGCCAGCACGAGGTACTGGGGCAGTGAAAGGTCCCCCCCCCATGTTTATTCAGCCCCCTCTCCCCGTGTAGTCTTTCACAGGGGCGCCTCTTTCTTTCTTAAATAGGGTCTTTTTCCAACATCCCGATACGTTCTTTGTTCCTCGCCCCACCAACGAGCAGCGGTAGGACGGAGGGAATGCACGCACGAGAAACAAGCACTGTTTCTTCGACGAGGGTTGCTCCCCCGGGGGTTGGGGAGGTGGGGGCTGTATTTGTATTATAAGGCCAGATGAGGGAGGAAGAAGGGCCAGGGCAGGCGGAGAGGATTGACAACACAAAAGTCTATGATATTTGATCTCTTGTCCGCTCACCAGAGGAGGAAAGACAAGTGGAGGGACGGCGACGAGATGGGAGAGGGGGAGGGGTTTGCCTATCCATTCTACCTACGGTCGTGGCATTGGGTTGCATCACAAGTTGCGATCGGTCGGGGCTTTTTGATGGAAGGAGGAAAGCCAAGAGGGAGAGGCCAGGAGGAGGAGGGGAAAGGAGTGTGTTGACCCGTCCGTCCGTCCATCTGCATTATCAGGGAACTTTCTCTTTTCTTTTCTTGTTTTTTCTCTCTCTCTCAAATGAAGGAAATCAGCGGAACTGTCATACTCTGAAAGTCCTGAGGAGTTGCGAAGGCCGTTGCTACACGTTTCTCCTTGCCTATGCCACGCTGTGCATGAGGTTTTTCTGGTTCGAGGCGGCAACCGTCCGTCGGCGTGCTGTCCGTCTGTGTGTGGTCCCGCCCGTCCGTGTTTGAGGGGGGAAGACTGGACCCCGTGGCTTTAGGGGGGAACAAAGGGAGGCCAGGGTGGAAGGGCTCCGGAGAATTTAGGGGGAACACGCGCTGGAACTCGGGATCGGACCCGAACTTCCATTTTTCCTTATCACTTCTTTTTTGAGATACCCCCCACATGTGTGTGTGACGTGCAGCACTGAGTGCACCTGCACAAGACACGCAAAGTATATCTAGTCTCTAATCATCACGAGATCATGCAAGATACAATCAATGGCAAAAGAATCTTGTTGGTATAACGTTTGTGAGTGTATCGACCACTGGAAGTCGAGTTTATCTCTGGGAATCAATAGCCGCTCAAAAAAAACGAAAAGAGATTATGACCCTGTGTTCGATATCCGTTCCTGAAACCCAACGCCCAAATGCAACCCTGGAATTCATCGGTGTATGAAAAAAGTCTCCCGGTCGTCAGAAGTGGCCACGAGTAGCATCACGGTGAGTGAGCCCTCCGAACTCATTATGACCAGGGATATCGAAGAGAAGAATACAAAGCGCGATGCGATGGCCTTGCTGTGCAGCTCTACTATGAGCTCCACTCGGGGAACAGAATAAAGCAGTGAACCAGCATGGAGGAGCCATCTGCCCGGCCAAGACGCCCTCAAATGGGGCTTGGAGCGTTGGGGCTTGGATGGAAGAAAGCGTACGGAATTACGAACGCCGGCACTGCGTGCTCCTAGCTGCTAGTGGCTGGTTCCTGCTTCTCGGCCGGCGGTTGCAGTCCCGCATTCTGCGCGACCCGCTTCCAAGTCTCGAGTTCTCGGTACAGACGCTCGACCTCGCCCTTGAGCTTCTCGTTGGAGGCGCTCAGCTCGGCAATGGCTTGCTCAGTGAGTAGCTTCTCCAAGGTCCACTTCTCGATGTTCTGAGTCTCATTCTCCTTGAGTTGAGTGATGAAGGCGACGGCGCGCTGGAGGATAGAGCCCTTGTTCTTCTCGCAACCGGGCACGATCTTGGCCAGCTCGTTGATCCCCTCGTTGATCGTCTCACGGCGCCGGCGCTCGACTGAGGAATTTCCAAGTTAGATCCCTGATCAAACCCTTGATACATAGGGGAGGTCAACATACCTTCTTTGTGGTTATCCTTGCGCATCTTGTGCCATTCCTCAGAACCCACAGCGGGCTTAGCGTTCTGGGGAGGGGGAACATATCGCTGCTCTTGGCGAAGGCCATTGGCGTCCGGCTGAGGGGGCTGGGCGGTGGTCATGGGAAGACCGTCGGTGTGGTGACCTACATCGGCACCGTTGAAGGCGTCCTGATGATGGTGAGCATGGTGCTCAGCCTCGCCCAGTGCCTGGGCTGCAAAGGTCTCCTCGGTCGTCGGGGGAACATGCAGCGTAGGGTACATGGAGCCCAAGGCAGCAGCGGCAGTGCTGGAGGCATTGGCTGGATCAGAAGCATCGGAGTGCTCGGCAGTGGCTTGCTGAAGAGCACTGAAGTCAGGCAGTTGTGAGGCATCAAGCGGGTTGTCCATGAAGGCTGCAGCGGCAGCCGCGGTGTCGGCGGGGTTGGCCATGGTAGCAGTAGGTGCTCCGCGCTTTATCCTCCTCGAGTCGGGTGATGCAGACTCTGAACTCCGCTTCCTCTTGTGACCTGGACTCTCTGGCAGGTCGACGTGGAGATCAGTCTGGTCAGCGGTAACAGTTTCGGCCATAGCGAAGACAGTTTGCCGCAGGAGCTGATGAACCAGTGGCTGGCAAAGTCTTTGATTTGCTGCTTTCTGGCCAAATTGGCTTCAGGCTTGAATGAACTGGTTCTATGGAGTAAGGTCTAGTTAGCAGATGTAGTGGCGCAATGTCAATGCATGATGCAGTCAACCAGAACGATTCTGTTTATTCCACACAATGCAATAGACCGTACAGAGGTGTGAAGATGATGCAACTCTGCTGGTATAGAGGTCTGAGACAGTGAAGGACAAGTGAGGTGAAGCTGATGACTTTTTAGAGTGGATAATCATCTGAGGGACCGCTTGGTCAGGACAGATAGATGCCGTCCAAGCCCTCAAGTCGTTCGGCTTGGTCCCTTGACAGATCCATGGTCTGTTCCCTTTGTGGCAATCGCACTTGAGAAATCTGCTCATATTGATGATATCTGATGCGCTTATTGCAAGTGTTTCGCAGTCTTGCTCTGTGTGTAAGAAGTGCACATCCAAGCTGTGGATGATTGCACAACACGCGGCAAGATGCAGAACCTGTTGATGACTGGGTACAAATTCTTCTTGAATGTTGCATGCACTGCTGTGCACTGCAGATGCAAGGAAGCCAAGACAAGACGACAAGACAACCAACATTGGTGGCTCTTGGTAAATGGTAACACGTACCTTTTTTCCGGACCCTTTGGGTTTGGGCGCGACTGGGAACCCGTGATTTCAGTTCAGGTGATCTGGCAGATCATGTGCCGGGGAGCGTGCTCCTTCGTTTGGTGAAATAACGTGATGTGCCGACTGGAGGGTCTGCACGTGTTGATAGCAACGCGTGATCTCGAAATCTAAATCGCGTCCGACTTTGACCCAGGTCAAAAAAAAAAAGATCCACCTCAAATAATCGAGGACATTGAAGTCGGTTGAAATTACTCGATGGCCGGGTTCTTGATATTTGATAAAAAGGCGTCGGCTTGGCCTTTGTCAGCGGGCGCACGGCGGGAGTGCAGCTTTGAGGGAGAAAGGGAGAGAGACAAGGGAAAGTCAGGTGAGCGGCGACCACGTGAAGGGAATATATAGCTGAGCGTGTCCCCCTCCCTCAGATTGCGAGAGTGGGTGGGCTGCCTGACCAATCAGAGGCCCCACATGGCCCCGGCCCCCACCCCTGGCAGCGCAGGTCGTGACTGCCATGTCCAGAACTGGCGAGGCAGCAGGACGCACAGACCAAAACCACCTCAGCGCTGGACTGGGCTATTGGTGGCTTTCGAGTCGCTGGCTGGCTCTCTCCCCCCATCACTCTCTCCCTCCACAGCGCCACTTGGACCGTTGTCCAGTACCAGCAGGAAGCAGCAGAGGATGTGAGACAAGGCATGCCAACCAACCTTGCAACCTTGCATTCTCCCAGCTCGATACGGGAACTGGAGGAGGGTACCCATCAAGGAGCAGGAAGGGGAGGGGATGAAGCGCGGGGCGGTGCCTGCAGAGGGGAGAGTGAGAGTACCTAGTGAAGGGGACCTTTATCCTCTCATATTGGGTTCTCCTCCTCCTCCTCCTTTCGTTGAGATCCATTTGATTCAGTGGTATGAGACTCGGCTCGGTACCCGGAAGGAAACCGAAGAGTTCCCGATTCTGGACATCTCTGTGCCTTGACTTGCATTGCGCTCTTCGCAGTGTCCTTGTCAACGACCTGTAAGGTACCTAGGTAGCTAGAGAGGTAGGGCGTCTCACTCCCACTGCCTGCTACTTCGTACCTGTGAAATCAATGTCCCAGCCCACTGCCATGATATCCCGGCGGCAGCTGTTGTTCCAGGCCGGAACAAGAACACCGCGTAGGACATACATGTACCAGGCTTGATCTGAAAATAGGTTGTCACCTGCTGCTGCTGTCGTTGCACACACCAGAGTCCTCAGTCTGATGTACGTGACAAGCGTGACCTATCCGATGTGTCCGTGTATTGTAGGTAGTGTGTTAGTGGGGGATTGCAGCAGGAGTGGAACCAACCATCCGGCACTCTCCTCAATGTTCAAGGTTGCTTCACAGTCGGAAACACTGGGCTGCAAGCTCGTGGGGCACCCGCACCGCACCTTGAACTCCTTGTCGCCAAACCCCTGCCGTGGAGCTAACTTCCTAGCGCCCCCGTCCTACCCTGTCGTCCCTGTGGACCTGACATCGATTGATTGTCAAACGGTCACTCCCAGCTCAACACTTTTTAACTTCCTCCCAGTAACAACAGACACCATTCCTGCTGAATAACACTTGAAGCCGAAGCAACCAGAATGGCTGACCATGAAACGGCCAAGCTGGACAAATCCAGCCATCTCCTGCTGGTAAGTTGGCACTCTCGTCCGAGGTCGGATTGCTGCTCTCTCGGGCAACGCTCCTCCAAACAGAGCTCCGGAGCAGCTGCGATATTCATGGACATATCCTGGGTCCAGCTGCTTTTTTTCTTTCTCCTTGACCAGCCGTTGACTAATGCTGTATTGCTTGCTAGGACCAACCTCTCCTACGCCTACCCTACGAGCTCCTGCGCAAGAACTTCCGCTCCGCCCACTTTGTCGTGGAGCGAGATTCTCAACAGGTCCGCAACCTGCTCCGCGACACCGCCTCCGCCTCTCTCGACGGCCGCGCCACCCCGGACGATGTGCTGAAGAACCTCGACATCGCGCTCAACCGCCTGCGCGCCACTAGGAAGAAGCTGGCCGCGTGTGCCGCCGAGGAGGCCCGCCTCTACCGCCAGGTCGACGCCCGGCTGGCCCACCTCTCCGAGCTGGCCTCGATGCACACCGTCGACGACGTCAAGTACGAGGCGTGGTCCCGCCGCCGGCTCGACCGCCTCGTCGTCGACTACCTCCTGCGGCACGGCTACAACGCCAGCGCGACGGCCCTGGCCGACGAGAAGAACATGCGGGATCTGGTGGAGATCGAGACCTTCGTCCAGATGAGCCGCATACAAGAGGCCCTGCGCAACGGGAGCGTGACAGAGGCACTCGCGTGGTGCAATGATAACAAGAAAGAGCTACGGAAGCTAGAAGTGAGTGCTCGTGGTCCGTGGCCATCCCAGCTTCTTTTACTAACGCCCAGGCATCAAGAGCAAACTCGAGTTCATGCTTCGCTACCAGCAGTACATCGAGCTGGTCCGCACCCAGTCCATGCCCAAGCTCATCGAGGCCATCAACCACGCCCGCAAGTACTTCACCCCCGTCCGCGACACCTTCCCCAAGGAGGTCAACCAGGCCGCCGGCCTCCTCGCCATCCCGCCCCCCGACAGCCACGAGGCCGCCCACCACTACCACCGCCGCCAGGAGCTCGACGCCGCCTACGAGGACCTCTGGAGCCCGGACCGCTGGGTCATGCTCGCCGACCTCTTCACCCAGACGCACAACCAGCTCCTGGCCCTGCCCTCGTCGCCGCTGCTGCACATCGCCCTGTCGTCGGGCCTGTCGGCCCTCAAGACGCCCGCCTGCCACTCGGCCGGCAGCAAGCAGCTGTCCGACAGCCACGCCAGCAGCCTCGCCGCCAGCGTCTGCCCCATCTGCTCCGAGGAGCTCAACCGCCTCGCGCGCAGCGTGCCCTACGCCCACCACTCCAAGAGCCACGTCGAGCACGACCTCGTCCTGCTGCCCAACGGCCGCGTCTACGGCCGCGCCCGCCTCGAGGAGTACGCGCGCAAGGCCGGGCTCGCCGCCGTCGAGGTCAAGGACCTGCGCACGGGGGAGGTCTTTGCCGTGTCCAAGCTCAAGAAAGTGTTTATCACGTAGTTCTCCTTCCTTTTTCTCAGTACCCTTGCAGGGTGTCGGGAACTATGGGGGTCAAGGGGGTAGGGGGGTGTTCCTTGTGTGTGTGGTGATGATGATGATGATGAAGGGAATAGGCCGTACGGAAAGAGAGAGCTCCTTCTTACGATGGGTGTCAGCGTTTTGAGCATTTTTTTTTTCAGTCAGTTTATCACACCCCTCAGGCGATGGCCTCTGCTAGCATGGTCAACGGAGTCTTCTGGTTTGTTTCTTCTTTTAAGGAATTGCTCTTCGGAAAAGGGGGGGGTATCGGATGGGAGCTCTCTAGGTGTTATCAACAGGGCCATGATTACTACCTACCTACCACAACTCAATACAGTGTACGTTATATGACAGAGTGTATTGAAGGGCTCGACGGCAATGGCCCGCAGCGATATTCCAAAGCCATCATAGATGCATTATTTCCAGTCAACGTGAGCATTGAAGAAGTGTCCAATTTTGATAGGATCTCCGTATCTTCTGATTACCCTCTCTTGGCCATTCGGTGTAGGCCATCCAAGTTACGTACGACTCAGGTCAAGGACAAACAAAGTCCAGTCACGCCACGCAGACCGAGATAAAGAAAAAGGGCGGTAGAAACTACCCTTGGGACTCAGAGCAGTAGAGTACATGTGTTGGATGCCTATATCTCGAACCCTTTTACCCGCCCTACGCCCTCCCAGAGATCCGATGGAGGTGAAGGAACGGGGAGGAAGAGAGAGAGAGAGAGAGAGAGAGACGGAGAGTACGCTAAGGAGGGTATGTCACAAAAGGGCACGCTGGTAGTAGGCACAAAAACGTAGGTACACGAGGGATGTATGCATTGTGGGAACCAAAAGATTCTCTAACCCTCCCTACTTCCCACCACAAACTCCAGGCGAACCCACGCGCAAATAGGGGGAGAGAGACACAGGGAGAGAGGGAACAGGTCAATTCGGCAACGAGACCCAACCGGAAACCCGAGTAATGCCAGTCCAGTCCACTCCCATTTCGTAAAAAAGACACCTTCCAAAAAAAAAAAAAAAAAAAAAAAAAGAGCAACACCGACAACGATGTTTACGCCAATACAGGTGGGGAAATAGGAGTAAAAACACACACAAACAATGCACATGACAAAAAAGTCCTATCTATCTGCTCCCCGAAAAGGCAAAGCTCCCAAAGACGCCGCCCCCGCCGCCGGGCGTCATAGGCCCCATGCCCATCGAGTTGGTGTTGTGGCTGCCCGCCGCCGGCGTGCTCACCAGGCCCACGCTGCCCGTGTTGGGCGTGCTCGGCGTGCCGTTGGCCCCGTTGGCGGCTCCTCCTGACGACGAGCCCGCCGGGGGCGTGTTCTCGACCTGCTGCTGCGCATTGTTGCCGCCGCCTTGGCCGTGAGCAGCAGCAGCAGCGGCGGCGGCGGCGGCGGCGGCAGCAGCAGCAGACGACATGTTGCTGTTGATGATGGGCTGGATGTCGGGCACCATGAGGCCCCAGACCTTGCCGACGTGCTCGTCGGGGATCTCGCCGTTGAAGATCTTCTCGCGCATCTGGAAGAAGACGCGGCCCGTCAGCAGCGAGTCGGACCCGGCCTGGTGCGCGGCGCCGATGCGCTTGACCTTGAGCGCCTCGGCGATGTTCTCCAGACCGGACTTGTGCTCAAACTTCTGCAGGACCTCGGTCGAGGCCGGGTCGTTGGGGCTGAGCAGCCCTTGGTTGTGCAGCCGGATGGCAAACTTCATCAGGTGCTTGACGTCGTAGGTGGAGGGGAAGTACAGCTTCATGATCTGGTCGAACTCGACCTCGTCGTTGGGCAGGGCCTTGCAGTGCAGCAGCTTGGTGAGGTAGCCAAAGTCGTAGCCGCCGTGGAAAGAGATCCACTTGACGTTCTCGAAGCAAACGAGGCCTGAGGGAATGAGTAATGACGCAAACTCCTGGGCGTCGATGCCGTCCCGCTCCATCACGTTGAAGTCGATGCCTGCCTGGATGAGCGAGTCGATCGAGGTCTGGTTGTACATGTCCTCTTTGAGTGAAAACTTGAAGTTGAACTGCCACGAGTAGGGCATGACGCCTTGATTGCCAGCTCTCCTGGCCGCCGGGCCAACCTCCTTTGGCTCTGCAGGGTTCGGCCGCGCTGGCGGCGTCTCGCCGTCCTCGTTGAACAGCGTGATGCCGATCTGGATGACCTTGAGCAGGTCGACGTTTGTCCGCAGACATTGGTAGTGGTAGTCGCTCTTGCCCCTAAATCCTCCCATCGGCCTCGAGACCACGCCGGGGAACTCAGTATCCTAGATGCCATGAAAAAAAAAAGTTAGGTCCACGATGCTCCTCATCTCCCTCTCCTTTGGTACCGTCAAAGTCCTCTCACCATAGCAATATACGGATAGTCCTCCACCAGGTCCCTCAGCACCGCCATCTCCTCGTGCAGGTTGTGCTTCCACACTTCTCGTATCCGGCCCTTAGCCTGATTCCGGGTCTGCGGCTCGCCTAGCACGTGCGACTGCTGGTGATGGTGCTGCTGCTGCTGCTGCTGCTGCTGCTGCAGGTGGGCGCCGTGCGCGAAGCCCATCCGGGCGGCCTGGCTCCCGAGCCCTACGTTGCCGTCCGCGCCAAAGCCGCCGCCGCCGCCGGGGTTCAGCCCCGCCGCCAGCGCGAGCGCGCCGTTGCCGGCGAAGGGGCTGATCTGGGCATTGGGGTTGAGGTAGGAAGGGTTGCCGCCGAGCTGCGGGGGCTGGTTGGCCGAGTGCGCCTGCGCGTGGGAGGCGAACTGGTGCGGGTAAGGGGAGATCGCGCTTGGTCCGCCCGGGAACCTAGGGGCCGGCGGAGGCATGCTCTTGCTGCCAATTCCTGGGTCGTTCGTTGTATTATATTATGGTCCGGGTGTCTTGTCGAGGAGCGAGGGGTGGCCGGGAACAGAGACTGAGCATGGGTGTGAAATTCCGTGCTGAGGGCAGGTCGTGTGAGCGAGCTGCGGGCCGCAGGACGAGCGCTGTAGAGCTGACCAGGTCACCGTGATTCGCTTTTTGAAACCGCAGTCGTGGTCGTCGCAATCGCAGGAGGGGGTTTTCAGTCGTGACGAGGTTGTTTGTTGAGGTCTGGAAAGGGCAGTGGTTGGATGGATGCTGTGCAATATTCGCCAGGTGTAGTCAGTTAGTGGTGCTCTAGGTACATAGGTAGCTTTGGCCTTGCAATGAATCCACTCGAGAGTCACTGCACAGGACTGGTTCAACTTTTGAGGCCCGTGCGCAAGTAGCTCAATGTTCAATGTTAATGTTGATTGACTCGGGCGCTTTAATATGTGGTACACTCACCTTCGGTCCGAGTCACGTTCCGAGCAGCTGGCAGGCGCCTGGCGTCCCAGTCGAGCTCAGCCAATCGAGCGACGCTCAATTGAATCCTCAATTGTGTCGTCGGCTCTCACTCTCCAACCGTGTAATGCGTCAACGCCAGCCAGAGTAACTGACGCTTCACAATGCAGCCATCAAGGTGCGTTCCGGAACCCCCCCTACGGCTCGAATACCGCCCTCCCTGCCCACATCCTCACCCAGCAGTCACTGACCAAGCCATCCCAAACGGTGCAGAATACTACGGGCCTCCGGCCACGGCGAGCGACCCAACATCACCGGGTTCAACATGCGAAACTTTGCCGAGGCCGCCGGCCAGCCCAGATACGACCCTTGGGAGCGAGCGTTAGTCATTTCCACCACCACCCTTGAAGCATATCCCGACGGATGCTCCTCCCCGAGACCGGTCAGCTAACATGTGTGTGTTTGTGCGCGGTGGCAGCGAGGCATGGCGGTATCAGGGCGTCTTCACCAGGTTCAACCGGTTCAAGCGGGCCTTCCCCGGTCTAGGCATCGCGACGGTGGCCTTCGCGGGCTACTGCGCTTACGAGCACTTCTTCCTCAAGGACGAGCACCACGGCGAGGCTCACGGCGATGCCCCCCACTAGAAAGCCTGGGAGAGGCGGGGAAGAGGTGGTTGAAGGCTTTGTACATACTAGAAGACTCGATATCCAGCAAATCGATATGGACGCATTGTACGAGAGAAGCTGGCAGGCAAGCAATTATGGATGATTCTGAGGATCAGGCATCGTGAATCTGACCCTCAATGATCGACCAAAGTGTGTCACGTTGACATATTCCACGGCAGCCGGCTTTCAGAACATGGCGTAAATGCGCATCCCAGAAAGGAACGGGTCCGGAACCAGAGCAAAACACACTGCAGTGTGAGAAATCGTTCTATCGTCCTGACAAACAATCTGTCGCGAGGAGTCATCATTCTATGCTTCGACGTGGTATCTCATATCCAGCCATATCCGCCGGAACGTATTCTATCGACCGTCCCTTGAATGCACACAAAGGTCATCTAGACCCTGGTATCATCAATCTGTGCCATGCAATATCATGCCATGCTTTACTCGTGAGAGCATATGAAAAGGTAAAAAAAAAAAGAAAGGAGCAACTCCAGAATCATGCTGTCCCAGTGTCACGTCCGGGCTTTAGAAATTCAGCCCGACACCATTTGCCAGGTCCAACGCCCCCTCCACCGCGTTCTCCAGCTGCCCGACCCGTTGTTTGAGCTGCTTGTTCTCGTCGCGCAGCAGGCTCACCGTGTCCCAGGCCACGCTCGCGTCCCGGCCCCGGCAGTTCCGGCACCCGTCGCTACCGGCGTCCTCGTCGTCCTGCGCGGGCCCCGTCCCCGTCACGTTCTTAACGAGCTTCTGCAACGCGTTGAGCTGCGGCGGCGCCTTCTGCCCCTTTGCTTGCTGCGGAGTCTGGCTACCCAGCGCCGCGACTCGTGGATGTGACACGGGTGCTGCCGCATCGCCAGACATGGCGCCGCTCTCGTAGTTGCCGACGGCGCTGGTCGGGCTGCGGGACCGCGAGAAGATGCTCTCGCCCTCGACGCTGTCCTCGTCCGTGTCGTAGCTGCCGTCGCTCTTGCGCCACTTGCGCTTGTGCGCATCGTCCTCGACGCCCAGGTCCTCCGAGACCATCGAGCCCTCGGAGAGGGGCACGGGCACGACCAGGCCCTTCTCGCGCATGCGGCGCTGCTCCTCGGCACGCGCCTTCTTCTCGGCGTTCAGCTCGGCGACGAGGGCCTGCATCGCCTGCTCCTGCTCGGCGGCCTTGCGGGCCATGCCCTCCAGCTGCATCTTGAGGTGCTGCGCACGCGTATTGGCTTCCTCCAGCTCCTCCCTCTGCGCGTCCCTATCGGCCTGGAGGTCGTGCATGGCCACCGTCCGCTCCCGGTAGGCGTGCTGCATCTTGGTCAGCACGCCCGTCGCATTGGCCTGCAGGTTCTTGAACGCCGCCGGCGAGAAGGTGTCGCGCTCCGTCGGCGCGCCCTGCGGGAACAGCGCCGCCTCGATGTTGAGGTCGATGAGCTCATCGCCAATCGTCGGGCTCGTAGGCGCCTGTGTAAGCCGTGACAGCGTGGCGGACATGGACGACGTGAGGAACGCGAAGCGAGATTTTGCGGATGCTGGCGTTGGCGTCACCGAGTCACTGGCGGCGGCATTCGTGCCCCTGGCAGACTTGGTCGGCGTCCCCTCTGGTGACAAGTTCCTGGTTGGAGACGATGGTGATCGTGAACCCGGAGTTCCACGCTCCGCCCGAGATGGGCTGCCCGTGGGTGTGCCTGAGAACCATCCGGCTAAACCTCCCTTTCCACCGGCACCGCCATCTGCGCCTCTGGCGCTCCTCCTGGCGTCGCCAGTGAACGACATATCTTCTGACACCGGTCTCTGCTCTTCGCGGCGGACGGGTGACGTGGATCTGCTCCTCAGCACGGCGGGCAGGAGGTTTGGAAAGGACTGGTGGCGGAGGTGAGAGGAGCTCGGCGAGCGGTAGCCTGCATCCGTGTAGCTGCTGTGGTACTCTTGTATGGGGGAGAAGCGACTGTCGTCGAACGTGCCAGTGGGGTGACGATGTCCGGGAGCCTCAGGAGCTAGGGCAGGTTGTGAGTGTCGGTAGGCAGAGGATCCATGAGATCTGTAATCCTGGTAGGATCTTCGCGTCCCCTCAGGAGGTCCAGATGAGGGGGAGTCGTGCCCGCGGGCAGTTGGAGCGGGACCGCCCCTTAGCATGATGGGTTAATGTTTCGGGGGTGGGACGAGGGCGATCACCGCCAATACCAGGGGGAAACAAGCAGCTTGACGGTGGAAGCTAAACACAGCAGGGCAAAAATGCTGTTGGCTCCGAAGTATCTCCCCGGTAGAAATCCGCCTGGCCAGGAACCCCGGGCCAGACGTATTCTCGGCCAGAAGAGAGTCTCTGGGCTGCGAGACTTTGTCTCAAATTCCAGAGGGAGGAATGGGCAAAAAACAGGGATCCACGCGTCGTAGTCAGAGGGCGACCCAACCCGACTGTTCCTGCCCTGGGATACCTAGCTAAGGTAGTCCCTGGGAGTGACCTCCCTTCGTGGCGCAACAGACCAAATAAAGGACGGGAAAAGGGAAAGCCGAAAATCAAGCAGGCAAGGCTAAAACATGAATAGAGAAAAAGGAAGCCATGGCGAGTGCGTGCGTGTTTACCAGCGTAAAAATACTGGATGGGCGCAAGGAAGAGGCACGATCTCCACCGCTGGCTGTCCTTGTTTTGGTTACCTTTTTGTGTCCAAGCTTGCCGTACAGCTGGCTCCAATCCTTGTAAATTTAAGGGTCCCCCACGGCCCCTCATCGACCACGGCCCTGGTACATTGAAGAACAGTGGGGGAGTCGACACAAACAGATGCTCAACTCCATACAAGTAGAACGAAAGAACCCCTAACAACAGTCAAACTGCTCTTCAGAACCCTGCAGTAGTTTATGAATCCGGTCCTTTTTGTTCCTGGGCCAGAGCGAAACACTGAAGCGGAGCAGGAAGGAACATAAACCTCTTTGCAACTGAACTCAAGGCGGGATCATGTACAGTAAGGTAGGTAGGTACCTAAGGCATAGTAACTCCCGCCGTTGGATACGACGCTCAGGCACGTTATTTGCATGTGAATGGACATGGTGACCAAAAAAGATTTGTGCAAAGAACAGGACAGCACTGACGTGCAGCTGCAGTGTGACTGATATGCCGTCTATGTATCTATGGACGAACACCAGACATACACATCCTAGATCAGGAGAAGGGAACAACTCTGTCCGAGTCTCGTGACGGAGCCCCTCCAGCAGCTAGCCTCTCTGTGCCTTGGGTCCCTTTTGATCCGCTGCGTGGAGGGTGGCCTCCACGTATTAATATACCGAGAAAGAACAACTCGATTCAAACGTCATCGACATCGTTCCAGATCTTCCATGAAGAAGCCATGAAGAAGCCTGAGAAGGCCAATAGCCGACCTTGCCATCGAAACGCCACGCTTGGCGCTGACCAAAACAGAACAAGAAAACCGTTGAGCATCTCGTGGCAGAGCACCTCGCAAGACACCCCGCAATGCCATCGAGTTCTGCACACCGCCGACGAGAACCGCCCAAGCAAAAGGAGGAGCCGCTCTCAGTAGAACGACTCGACCATGGTGTCCTTCATCGTCGTGTTGATGTTGCTCGGGCCCTGGCCCTCTCCTAACCTGAAGACGCTCTCCACGACGCTGAGCTCCGTGGCCGTGGTGTCCAGGCCCGTGACCGCCAGCCAGTCGTTGACCACCATGCCGCCGCCGATGACGGCGCTGCCGCGGTTGACCGAGCCGGCCACCAGCGGCACCTGCAGCAGGCTCGACAGCTCGTCCTGGTCCTGGATGCTCGTCTTGGGGTGCACGAGGCCGCCCTGATTTGACAGGGCCATGTAGGAGCCCACCAGGACGTTGTCGGCCACCGTCTGCCGGAACACCTCGACGCCGAGCACGTCGGCGATGATCTCCTCCGTCTCGCGCTCCAGGTCCGGGTGGACTAGGGCGATGTGGTCGTTTGCGACGATGACGTTGCCGAGCGCCGATAGCCTCTCCTCGATCCGTTGTATCTTGACCTCGTCCGGCAGGCTATTCCGCAGGTGTTGGAGCTCCTGGTCTGTCGTGCTGGTGGGTACCAGCAGACCTTTCCTGTTTCTGTTTTGGACACACAAAGCTGTCAGCCATTCTGAACAGCCAGACCCTTGCTCTCTCGCGGCCAGGGTAACGCATTGCCCCTCTGGTGCGGAGAATAGTAGAGAGAAATATCTTGTAGACTTACCCAGTCGTCAGGCGGCCGACGATGCGGGTGCCGGCAATAGTCGTCCTGCAGATGGGGATGACATCCTGCAGCTCTGCCTCGAAGACGGAATAGAAGTTCTCGCTCGCGCCGATGGCGACGAGGGCATATGAGTTTGTGAGGGTGGAAAAGACACCAACTCTGGAATTTTCAGAGACGCCGTCAGTAAAACAACGCCCTCTTCTTCTCCGTTGGCTTGCACGAACATCGTCCCAGCACACCGATATCATCAAGGTATGGTGGGGCAAGAGGATTTGGAGGGGCAGGCCACTTACTCGTTGGAGTTCTCGAATTGGGCGCGCACAGCCATGGTTGGGAGGCTCTCGATGCCGATATTAGTAGAGATCTCTGTCTTTTGTTTGGAAAAGACCGGTCGGTCGAGCGGCAGGGAGCAAATGTGTGCTCCGCAAGAGGTCAAGGCGTGTGAAGGCGAGGTTGATGAAGCAGGCGCTTTGTGGTGTCGTGGGATTTTTAGCACCGATTTTTTGCGATTTCTTTCCTCTGTTAGTGTAGTGGAGAGTCCAGTCCCAGCGACGTCAGGCAGCTTCCTCTGGCGGTGCTTATATGAGCAGAATCAGTGTCGCCTGCCTCTCCACCACTAGTAGACACTAGAAGGCGTTTTACTAGCTTGGTATTTGCTCAGTCCCACTCTGCCGCTTTTCGACCGAGTCTGGGACCCGGAGAACAAAGTTGACTCAACCCGTCAGTCAGTACACATGGGGTGTCGTGGCTACCTAAGGTAGGTAGTAAAGCCAAGGCGAAGCAGTGCCAGCTCTTGCATTAGATTGGTTATGACTCAGTATCATTCATCCTCGAGACTTTCGTGTTCCCACTTTGCGCCACCGCCGTCCTCTTTCTGTGTTGGTTTTAGTGGACCGAATCAGTATGATTCATTATTACTGGCCCTTGTACTCGATGTCTGGAAGCTGTAGCATGCACCTCTGACTGTATGCCGAGAGTTGTATGCCAAGCTCAGGCACCTTTCATCCGCCACCTGCTTCTGCAATTGACCAATGAAGTTTGGGAAGGCTCTACATTCTCACACTGAACGTCGCGCTCAGGTTGGGGTTCTTTGAGATGCTGAATTCTTCATCGAATTTGAAAAGGGATAGCCTTCAGAACGGATCTCGCCATCGCCATCGCCATCGCCCAAGCAATGGAAGAGAGTAGCCTCTTGGGAGACCATATATGACAAACGATGACCACTGAAACCCCAGGTACAGTCGCCATAAGATACAGTGACGACAATCCGATGCGATGGTGCCCGCAGAAAATGCCCGTCCCAACGGGTAACAGAATAAAAGGGGAAAAGCACATTTCAAGTACATGCTGCTGTTCATCCATGCCAAAATGCTAGCCCCCGTGCTGAACGAACTCCGGCCAAAAACGCCAAACAACGCCTCATACTCTGATGACCGATCCCTTCTATCATCTGAATGTCACCGCGGGAAAGAAGCGCGGGCCAGCAAACCCGTTGGCCACAACGCCTTGAATGTCGATGTTGCCCCTTGGGTCGTGATGGGGATTCCACATCTTGAGCAGGATAAAGCGGCCCGACACTGGCGGGTTGAAGTGGATTGTGCACTTGTTCTTGTCCTGCTCAATGTGGAACTTGGCGTGGGGTGCCAACAACTCTCCTCCCACTGCTCTAACTGCTTCCTGCGTCGCCAGCCGGGACGCCTCTTCGGCCTGCTCCAGCATCATCGTCCTATAGCCTCGTCTATAGTGGTCGTCGTCGCCGTCGCCGTCGTCGTCGTCGTGATCCTGGTTACTGCTCCAGTCGTCGCTGCTGTTGTCGCTCTCAAAGGGGAGAGCACCAATCCTATTGGGTGTCCGCCGGCGAAACCTGCTGTGCGGCCGATCGTCGTTGTCCTCATCGCTGCATTCTGTCGTCACCAGAAAGTGTGGTGGTGATACGGTGAATTCGGGCGGGATCTGCGCCCTCGCAGAATCTTCATCGTCGTCCGTTCCAATGTTGTAAAGCCGCCGTTGCCGGACCTCAGATCGGGTCCTTATGGTTCCGTCATCGTTGTGGCGAATGGAGATGACTGGTATCAGAGACCGTGATTCCCGCTCAAGCGGCTGCCCGGAAGAATCTCGCGGCTGCCCATACTGAATCTGATACTGCGCAGTCCTGGTAAGAAGCTCATCTTTGTGCATAGATACAAACACCATGCCCTCCCTGACCCTGGAAAAAATATGTGAGCAAAACGGCATCCCTGCCCCCAAGACATGATCAACTCACGGTGATGAATAGTTCTTGCCAGGGGCCTTGATGATGAGCTCTTTCAGGCTGAAACAAGTGGCTCCCTGGTGGCGAAGCACGATGTTACATCGGTTGCCTTTGGTACAGTACACCGAGTTGTCGTTCTTGAGGATGTTCTCGGCCGCATAGGATGTGCCTTCCGAGTATATGCCGCCGTCACAGCTCACGATCTCCATGTTCAGCTGTCCCGGGTAGACCTGCCCATAGATCCCATACTTGACGGCTTTGACATCGGGGATGAGTCTGTCCGAGTCCAGCTTTCGACGTTTAGCCCGCCGAGTGTCTTCAGCAGAGTCTGCAAGATGCGTGCCCGAGGAGAGAGCGGGCGGTGATGCCGGATCCAAACCCCATCCACCGAGATCCAAGAAGTCCCCAAGTTGCGGAGCAGGGCTCTCTGCGCGAAGTTCTGGAGAGTTCCAGACGGCCGCTCGGTACGGCCCTTGGTAGGGCGGTGGCTGCGGGCCGGCGCCAGAATGATTTGACGAGGGCATGGCTGGCGTGGTGCGGTACAGGAGCCTGAGCGGTGGCAAGGACGGCAATCCCGAGGTTAGGCTCGATAGCCCTGGAAGCGGCTGTTGGTCGCGAGCCCGAGGAGATCTAGAGAACCTCCGCTGCAGGTTCTGGTTCGGCTCGGAGGGCCAGTTGTTGTAGAGGGCGGGCGGTCCCCCGGCCGTCCCGTGATATCTCTCGATGGCACGGTACAGTTCGCCTGAAGGGCTCACGTTGGAGGTTGAAGAGTGATCATTGAGATCAAGAATGGAGCGTACGAGGTCTTCGGCCGATCGGAACTGCCTGTCAGGGCGACGCTGGCTGTTGTCCCCGGACTATAGATAGCACGTACGTTCAAGTCAGCAACTCGCTGTACTGGTCCACTGCGAAGGATGCTGACTGGACAGCCGATGAGACAGCAACCCGCCATACGTCCCGGTCAAGGCTCTGAAATGCAGAGATGAAGACAGATAGGCCGCAGTGCTCTATCCGCCCTTCGAGTAACACCAACCTACTCACCATCAAAAGGAATCACTGTCTGGGCGCCACTATGATTCGGTGTGAAGGTGGGGTTGGTTGGCAGATAGGACTGCGCAGCTCGGAAAGGCGGTCGTCGACCCAAGATATTTCAGACGGCGGTAACACTGACTGGTCCAAAAAGAAGATAAAAAAGAGGACTGGGTTGCGGCGACAGGCTTTGGTAGACGTAGAGGTTCAGTGCGTCAGGTTCAAGAGGGAAGTGGGAGTCGAGAGAGAGAGAGAGAGAGAGAGAGAATGGCGACGCAGCCTCCCAGGGTCATTTGACGAACCCTTGGAAGCTAATAGCGGGAAGTGAATGGCGGCCTACAGCAGGTCGTCGTTCCGTAGTACACAGCGCGGTGACCCCATTCAAGGTGGCCTGTGTAGCGGGTAAAGCAGGGACAGGGACTGGGGCCCTGATAAATGACTACCGCTGTGATTCCCAGATCAGTCGGCGACAAAGCAGGTACTGGTCTAACAAATTTGGATTGGTCTGGCTTCAACATCGTGGAAATTGTTAGTGGCCTACTTGGATGACCTGCATGGTGCCTGAACAAGACCCCTAACAGCACTGCCGACCGGGTGTACCTCTTAAACAGAATCGCAACTCCCGCCGCCAGCCAGCAGCCACCTGCGCGTTACCCGCGAATCGCGGTGCCCTTTAGATAATACCTTATCCGACCTAACCATCTCATCCTCAGCTTTGCTAGCTAAGGTCTCTTGTGATTATAAGCTGAAAAGTAAACAAACCAGCCTGGATGAACCTTTTTTCTTTTTTTTGACCGTCGCGCTGCCTGGCACCCACAATCAAGCTCAACATCCAGTCAGGATTGGCCTTGGATTCCGGCTGCGCTGAGGCGCTCGCAATAGGCAGGTAGTGCGCCACGTCGACCTGCTCACGTGCATTGGAGCATTGGCGAAAGCTCCAGGAATCCCATCTATCTACCCGGAGCTGGCTGAACAAACAGCCCAAAGCAACCAACACCCTTCATCGCCTCATCCACTACAAACCGCAGACATGGACCAGCCTTCGCAAGCTTCTGCCATGCCACAGGATGGTGCTGTCGCAGTCGATGCGACCGCCCCGACTGGTGTGCGGCTGAACGGCAACGCCAACAGCAACGGTGCGACTACGGGCGCGGTCCCAGCTCCCGCCAACGGCATCAGTGCCGACGAGATCGCTCTGTATGACCGCCAAATCCGCCTGTGGGGGATCCAGGCGCAGGAGAAGATTCGGAGCGCCAACGTCCTCCTCATCACCATGAAGGGTCTGGCCAACGAGATCGCCAAGAACCTGGTTCTGGCCGGCATCGGCTCACTTACCGTCGTCGACCACGAGGTCGTCACCGAGGTTGATCAAGGCGCCCAGTTTCTCCTGGCATCACCAGAGTCGCCGATCGGCAAGAACCGCGCCGAGGCCGCCAGCGAGCAGATCCGCAAGCTGAATCCTCGTGTCGCCGTGCATGTCGACCAGAGCGACATCCGTCACAAAGGGCCCAGCTATTTTGCTGCGTACGACATAGTCATCGCGACCGATCTGGATCCGGACACCCTCAACATCATCAACACAGCTACGCGTCTCATGTCCAAGCCCCTCTACGCCACTGGCACTCATGGCCTCTACGGCTTCATCTTTAACGACCTGATAGAGCATGACTATGTCATCCAGCGCGACATGGGCAACGTCCCCACGGAGATCAAGCCAGAAACCAGAACGCGATCTGTCATTGGCTTTCAGACCAAGAAGGAGAATGGCAAGACGATCGAGATGGTGACCAAGCGAGAGCTCTACTCGACCTGGTTCCTCGCTAGCGATGCGGCCGCGCTCCCCGAGGAGTTCACCAAATCCCCGCGCCGGCTCAAGGCCGTCACCCCTGCTCTCTCCTGTCTCCGCGCCCTATGGGACTTTGTCCAAGTCTTCGGCCACGTCCCCGGCCACAACCGAGAGGACCTGCAGCAGTTCACCAGGCTGGCGACGGCCAAGCACGGCGCGCTCGGCCTCCCCAGCAACACTCTGCGGTCCGAGTTCCTCCGGAGCTTCCTGCAGAACCTCGGCAGCGAGATCGCGCCGGTCACGGCGATCCTCGGCGCGCAGCTCGCGCAGGACGTCATCAACGTGCTCGGCCACACGCAGCAGCCCATCCAGAACATGGTCATCTTCGACGGCAACACCATGGAGTCGACCATGTACCCGCTCCACCCCGAGGGCCTCCTCGGCGCCCAGCTGCTCTCCGCTAATGCCGGACTCGGCGTGCCCATGCCCAACGGCGTCGACATGGGTGCCATGGGCGCCATGCCCGACCTCTCCGCCATGGGCGCCATGCCCGACATGGCAAACATGGCCGGCCTGCCCGACATGACCGGCATGGCTGGTATGTCTGGAATGCCCGACATGACGGGCATGGGCGCGGCGGGCCCGGGAGGAGTCATGACCGACGAGATGCTGCAGCAGGCGGCTATGTATGCGCCCGTGGACATGAACAACATGCCGCCGACGGACGGAACTTCTTAGGAGAGGAGGTTGGCGATCTTCCGTCGGAGATGACGAGGGACGGATGGGGTTTGAGAGCTCAGCTATGTACATGTCACTTGTAGGTTCTTTCTCCCCGAGCTCATTATCCTTGGGTGGGGAGGCAATATGGGCGGACAGATGGAGGAGGAGGATCACGAGATGTAGTGCTTTTATTGATGCGCCCCGGGCGTCGCGGCCGTTTGTTGCCACGGAGAGAAGGTCATGTACAGTAGAAAAGCGAAAGGGGGGCGTTCAACAGGTTTTTCTTCCGGACGAGACTCCCGGCGTGGAGTTGGGATAATACCTTTTTGCCATCTGACGTTGGCGAGAGATACCTTAGAGAGATCAGCATGAAAATTTTCCATTGCTTTTTCCCATTTACCACACGAAGATGTAGGCGAGGATAGTCACCCATGAGCGTTTCCAAGCTGTGATATCCGACACTGAATTCGTAGGTGTTCGTCAAGGTGTGGAAGGAGAAGGTGTGAAAGGGAACGTCAGTATTTCATACAGATAAGATTTCTTCTGAATTTTATAATCCTCAAGTTCACGATCAATCACCCTGACAGAATCCCTGAGCCACAATAGTAAGGATATGCGAGGATCATATTATTGATTCTACGAGCTGAGCCTAGAACCACAGGTCGTTAACGACCATTTCCCTCGCCTTGAAATCGTACCAAAAAGATCATTGTCCACAGGCAGAGAGACAAATCAGCAAGAAGGGAGCAGTTAGGATGCTCTTCTCTCACACGTGTCTCCTTTCTCCTTCTCTCTTCCCCCCTTCTCTGCCCCCCCTTCAATATGTTTGTGTGTATGTCTGTGTCCAACCCCGAGGACACGAGAAAATGCAAAATAGCCTTCCGGAAATCCTGTCCCTTTTTTTAGGAAGGAGGAAAAGGCTCGTGAGCAGAACATTGGCTCCATCGCTATGCTGTGACAAAACGCGACCATGGGGGGGAAAAATATTGATGTCGAGAATATCGAGTGCGGCGAGGGAAGCATTCCCGGGTAAAATGAGCAGGCGTAGAGCCCGATCTCATCGAGGCCTCTCCTGGAGTTCGTGTAATGTTTCCCTGTTGCTCCTCCCTGCACTCAAGATCACTGATATGGTAGTTGGATGTCCTCGATCGGGTTCGATAAGTAAAAGAGAGAAGAAAAAAAAAACAGGACGTCATGACAAGATATTGATGTCCTTTGTTGGACACGAGAGGTAGGAAATATGTCGGGAAAATGCTGGGTATCGTCGTTGTCCCGGTGCATCGTCTTTGATGGTGGGCACTTTTGGGTGCTAATACAGGCCTCTTGGGCATAAGTGGCATTGCTCGTAGTCCGAGACAATGGGCGGTGAGCAGCATCAAACTGCAGGAGAACCCTTCCGCTTTCTAAGGCGGTATCGTGGGTGTCTCTGGGGAGTCTCCTCGAAGCCTTCGGCATCTATGACGAGCTTCTTGGTCTCTCGGTTCCAAATAGTGATCCGAGGCGCTATGCCTTTCTGTTCCGCCGGCTCCTCAGCCTTAGGAGCTTCGACGGCTTGTGCCTTGCCTTCCTCTGCCTCAGGAGTGCTCTTCTGCTCTTCGGTAGGCTGAATTTGTGGCCGGCTAGGTGTCAGGACCTTGCCGCCCTGCATCACTTTGATGTTGATGCGCCGCTTCTTGGGCGGCGAGGGGGTCTCCTCTGCCGGCTCGCTATCGCTGGTCCGCTTTCGAGGATTATCCTTGCTCTACTTGGATTCCTCTGGTCCTCCCTTGGGCGACGCTTCGTTCTTCGACGAAGCTCGGGGACGCTTGACGTTGTTGTGCGCCCAGCCTCGGATGTGGGTAGGTCCCGATCCTGGAGGCGGCTCGACGGCCGAGTAGTCCTTGATGCCCTCGCGGTAGTCGTACGGTACAGTCCGTAGCTCCGGGCCACTTGAGACCCAGCCTTGTCGGTGAGCCGGGATCGGAGCAGGCTCCAGCTTGCGATATCTGGCCGCAGCTGCAGCTGCCGACTGTGCCGATGCTGGGCCCGAGATGCTCGTGCGCGGCGGGGTCGAGCCGGGGGGCGGCAGGCCATGGAGCGACTCCGGTCGTGGGGGGCTGTCCATCATCTGGCCATGGGTAAGGGAAAGCTGAGCCGTTCCCGGATAAGGAGGCGACATCGCATACGGTCCGCTGTTAACTGGCTGCTGCGGCGGCATCGGCATCGGCTGAATTGGGGGAGGGCCAGGCGGGCCATGTCCATGAGGCGGTGGAGGGGGCAGTGGTGGCAGGCCGTGTTGGCCAGAAGGATCTTGAATGTACTGCGGCGGTGGCAGAGCGTTCTGCGGCTGTTCCTGGAGGGTATAGCCGCTATGGAAAGGCCTGGCCGGGGCGGGAGGGTAGTAATTGCCGCTGTTCGTAACGACGAGGGACTGTCGGGGAGAGCCGTAGCTCGGCTCTGGCGAGGGCTCTTCGACGAACTGCTTTGCACCACGTGCAGGTCGAAGAGGAGGAAGACCCGGGGGCGCAACGCCTCTGGCCTGGCCAGGGTTGCTAAAGGGCACTCGTGAGGCCGGCATGTCAGGGCCGCGCTGCTGCAGAGCGGGGTCCACAGCATTCGCATAGGCCTGCGACGGAGATGGCGGCGGGTAGGATGCTGCTGGCGGGTTCAGTGCGGTCTGCAAGAAACTGGGGAGGCCTTGGGTAGAACCGCTCATGGGCTCAGGCGAGGGTCCTCCACGCTCAAAGCTCTCCTCGCCGACAATATAGTCTGTGGGCAGATACTTGCGACCGGGTTCGCCGACAGATGCATCAGAGGTGGCTACCTCCAGCAAGAAGATGATATTGGACCTGTCAACGGGCGGTGCAGGCGCAACCTCTTCAGTAGCTGCGAAGATATCTCGAATGGGGTCGAAAGGCCGGGTGGCAGGAGGAGCGGGCTTAACGCTCGGTGTAGCTGCCTTCTTCTCTTGGGCGTCGACCTCCTGGGCCGCTTCGAGAATGGAGGCGAAAGAAGCATGAGCATCGGACTCTTCGACTTCATCTTCTGTGACTTCTTCTTCAAGAGGGCTCTCTGGGGCAGGTTTGCCGACGTATCCCTCGAGTCTCGTCTGACGGAATTGCTCGACGACAGCCGGATCCGGCATGACGGTCTCCGCGTCGATGCCTTCCTGCTGAGTGAATGCGGAAAGTCCAGCCTTCAACTTCCTCTTGCGCTCATTCCGGTCTAGCTCAGCCTGGAGCTCCATGATTCTCATAGAACGGGATGTCTCCTTGATCTGTCCATCCTCAGTGGTGAAAATGACGGGCTGCTTTCCGGAAACGAAGGGAAGCGGGTCCTCGCTAACGTTGCGAGAGCCTTCGAGGAAGAGTCCAAGAGTGGGGTGTAAGCCATGCTTCTCGACCAGTTCCTGGTCCAGATCGCCTTTCTCGTGCGAAGTGGAATCATATTGCCAGACTGAGCGGTCGATGTACCAGTAATTGCTGTTGGGCGTGTTAAGGTACTTGCCGCGCTTGGCCTTGGTGGCGCCTCTCGACTTGTCGTTGGTCGAGTCTCTGAAGCCAATCTCATGTGGCTCCCACTCGTACAAAGGCTGGATGACAATGCGATTGTTATTCTCAGAGTTGGCCATCCTTCGCTTCGTAATGATGCGAACGCCGTAGGGGTCTGGGTCAGAAGTGCCGTTGGGAAGCGCGGGGATACGGTCATCATCGGGGAGAACTGTCTCAGCTGGAGCAGATGTATCTTGCTGCTCAGCTTCCCTTGGGGATCCGCTCTCGGAGCTGCCTTCGAGATTGGCAGCACCTGGGGTTGGCGAGGGCACCCTCGACTCCTCAGCACGCTCTCCGGCATCCTCGTCAGGCGGAGCGACTGCGGAGAGGAGGCCACCGATGTGGCGCGGCGCGAGAGAAGCCGGACCGCCATCGTCCATAGCGCTGGCAGGACGCTTGGGGGTCGGCTGGCCTTCCGCCTCACCCTCGGCCTTGCGTTTGGCCGGGGTCTTGGGAGCCTTGAGATGCTGAGTGTATTCATTCAGCTGAGGCTCTGTCTTGTGGCACGGGACTTCAATGCCATCTTGGGTGTAGATGACGTGGGAGGCAAGCTTGCGGCCTGGCTCGAGTGTGCGGTGCTCATAGTGATCGTCGTGAAGCTGGAGCTTGTATTAGCAACGATGAACCTGAAGCAAGACTGACAAGAGTGGTGTGTAACTTACATCAACAGGCAGGCCCTGATCATGTAGGGTCTCAAGTCTGTCTAGCTGTGCAAGTAGTTCGTCAAGCCTGTCTTCTTGCATCTCCTCGAGCTTCCGCTGTAATATGTATTAGTATTGTGACCGAAAAGTGAGATGAGAATCATTTGAGTTGGATAATAAACGTACCTTGAAGGAATCTTCAATGATTTCGACGCTGGCATCACGGCGGCTCTTGACGAAAGTCAGCCGAATGTCGCGCTCGGTGTTGATCACCTTCTTGACATCGGCGACACGAGTGTCCAAGGCTTCCTTGACACCCATGAAGGCCTCGACGCACTTGTAGGCGTCGGGATCTTCCTTCAGAGAGTCGATATTCCTGTCGGCCAGCTCTTCAATTGCTGGCCTGAGGGCGTTGACGACACTCGCGTAAGCATTCTTCAGCTCCTTTCCGCGCTCAAAGGTGCCTTGAAGCCGCGGAGCACCGTACAGCTTTTGGCGGCCGCGACGGCCACCGCCAGTGGTGGGTTTCTTGACGGCAGCTCTGGAATGGTTGCCTCTGGTCGAGCCACCTCGGCCTCGACCACGGCCACGGCCCCGGGCAGGGCTGGCCGGAAAACTGTTCATGTCACTCATGGTCCCATCCGGGAATGGAGACGGAAGTGGAGATGGCAGGAGATGAGAGTGTTGTTGCGAGAGAAGAAATGGGATGTGTTTGGGAAAAGGGAAAAAAGTAGAAGATGGAGAAGAGCGATGCAGACGACTGCAGAGCTTGGTCAGAATTAAATATGAGGGCGAGGGGAGAGTTGGGTGATTGCAAAGATGTGGTCGGCCTGGGGCTGGGGCGGGTGAAAGAGATTATTGTGTAGGTGAGGCGGCCAGGTGAGCAGAGGGTGAATGGCGATTGACAATAGCTGATCCCCGCGAGCGAACAGCTCTAGACAATAGAGAAGATGAATAGGACCAAGCGGAAGACGCAATGAATGGCCTTTCCGAATGGACTCGACGTCGGCCAGGTCCTTTTGAATGGGACTGGATTCTCAATAACACACAACGCAACGATTTCACCCAGGTTTGCCGTGTACCTCCGTACCTCCTGTCTCCGAATCAGGTTAGCGGCGCTGTGATTGGCTGGAGTGGTCTGAAAATCCGACCCGAACAGCGTTCAGGTCTGGCTGGGTGGAGCACTGGCGCTAGTGGCTCTGGAGTTGAGTGCTGTCCGCACCAGATCCGGCCTGTGTGTGTGCTTGAGGCTGGGTACCAGGGTCCGCCCGGATGTGTGTGGTGTGTGCGTGTTAGGGGAGAGTGAGAGAGAGAGAGAGGCAGGCAGGCAGGCAGGCAGGAAAACGGCGGCAGATGGAGAGATGTTCGAGCCTGCAAGATGTGATGTCGATGCCCTGTTGTAATGCAGCGATCCTACTCTTCAAGGTGCAGTATCGAATGCACGGTCTGTCAAGTGCTTCGTCAAACGAAGCTGCTAATGAGGCGCTGGGGGTGGATCGGCTGGATTGGTGTAAGAGAAAAAGTAAGAAGATGGCCTCGGGGTTCAAAGCAAGCACAAAATCCTCGTGGGCCAGCAGACCACTCGACCATATAGATCAGATGTCAACCCAGCAGCGAGCAGCTGAATAGGCTTCTTCTGGCATGAAAGAGAAATGTGTATGTAGGGTCTTTTTTCACCGTTCCTTGCTTTTGCAGAGAACGAGAAACATAGGAATGCCAACGTGGGCGATTGAAGCCTGCGTCCCTGACTTGGATTTAATTCGGGCCCGGCTCGGACAATCCGCTCAAAGCACCCAAAGCGAGTTACCAACACGATGAACAGTCCATGCGAATCTTCAGCTCTTGGCCAGTCTTCTTGTTGACCGACATATTTATCTTGATCCGATACTTGATTTGATGCCTTTGTTTGAAGGTGAGCAGCCACAAAGACACTCACCACAACAGAGCAGATGAAGGACAAGGCCCCTTTCATGGGGATTTTTTTTCCCTTTCTCCTATACCACTTCAAAACGATTAATTCTCAAAGGCATTCACACCACCGAAATTCTCTTGTTCTGCACATGAAACGTTGAGATGGTTGATCTGGCTTTTCTTTTAGGTTTCCTTGTTTTGAAACTGCCACCAACCAACCGCTTGAAAGTATCTTGGCTCGCATAGATGCACTGTCTCTTATGCACTCAAGCACCGCCATTGGTGCCGTACAATCCGAGCAGGTGAGCTCGCGCCAAAGCTCGCGCCAAAGTTCGTCTAATGTATGAGCATATATTTACTGAAGAGAAGCAGGTAAGAGGGACCAGGCCAAAAGGTGGTGGTGGTGTACTTCCTATTCCCTAATGCCCTTGAAATCACCAGATTCAAAGCCTAATAAGGCACGCAAATGTCACCTCTTTGAGTAAGTACATCAAACGTCCTTCGTAAGCAAATTCGCGACAAATCTCCAGAGCGGATACTTTACTCGACCCACTTGCATGCAGCGCGCTAGTACCCCGAATTTACGGGAGCCCCCGCTAACATCCGCCCTTACGGGAGAACAGCCTTGGTCTTCCATCATCGCCAAAAAAAGAAAAAAATTATTGTAGCGGCTCGTGACACTGCTGCTGGCCCTCAACCTCTAAGCCTGCTCCCCTACTTCCCTGTCTCGGTGCTGTACGTCCGTGACGGACCCAGCTGGGCGCGTTTGTTGCTCGTCGACACCAGCATTGGGAGCACGCGCGATTTTCTGAGTATACTCAGCAATGGGCAAGAAGCGGAAGCTCGCGTACCAGACGGGGCACAAGGCCGCGAAGCAACCGCCCACCCCTCAAGGCAAGAAGATCGCAAAGGGCCCTTCTGATACCAAGCCGAAGCCTTCCACCTCTACGCCGCCGAAACAAGTCCCAACCCGTCCCCAGGAGCCTACTATTCCTTTCTCGCCCGAGGATGCTATCCTCTTGGTGGGGGAGGGGGACCTGAGCTTCTCAGCATCCCTCGTCGAACATCACTATTGCGAGAACATCACAGCGACGGTCCTCGAGGCCAGCGAAGACGATTTGAAAACCAAGTACCCACATGTCGGCGAGAACATAGCAAAGATTGAGGCCGAAGGGTCCAAGGTCGTGTATGCAGTTGACGCGCGCAAGATGGGCCCCTTCGCCAACAAGAAGGGCAAAGACGCCGTGGGCACCATGGACCGAATCATCTTCAACTTCCCCCACGTCGGAGGGAAGAGCACCGACGTCAATCGGCAGGTGCGGTATAATCAGGAACTTCTCGTGGACTTTTTCAAGCGTGCACTCTTGTCGCTTGCGCCCAGGGGCACCATCATAGTTACTCTCTTTGAAGGTGAGCCTTACACGCTGTGGAACATTCGAGATCTAGGACGCCACTCGGGTCTCCAAGTCGAAAGGAGCTTTCGATTCCAAGCCTCGGCGTATCCAGGATACCATCATGCAAGGACGCTGGGGGTTGTGAAAAACAAGCAAGGGGAAGTTGGTGGCGGCTGGAAGGGTGAGGATCGAGCAGCTCGAAGCTACGTTTTTGTGAGGAAAGACGAGGTCCCAAAGCCGGTCTCCCGAAAGAGACGGCGATCACTTGGCGATGGTGAGGACGACTCTTCTGACGAAGGCTGAGAAGATGCTAGTCTTGTGAATGCCGAACGGCAAACCCGACCTGCAAGCCTTCGCCCGAGAAGACGGATCCTGTGCGACAGTTGAAGCTCACTGAGAGCTCCTGCCATGCGACTCGATAATACGGTGGGCTCTGCAAGATGATTGCCCTCAACTCCGGTCACAAGAGAACAGGGACTCTCGGGCTATGGTGGATTAGATCACTGACCCGAGGATCGGGCACTCGGGTGATACTGCAGCACTCAAGGCCAGGCAGCTCTGCTTCACAGCGTTACGCAAGAGCCTTACTTGCTTCTAGAATAGCGGGCTTAGTAGAACTGAATCAGCTCACCATAAACCAATAGCCTTTTTGCTTGCTACAATTGATATCAACAAAGTTGGCCCAAGTCGAGCATTGTGAGAAGTGAAGCTTCTCCGGCCTGTACAACCCTGACACTGGCCCTGCTGGTCAATTGAGGGGAAATAAAATTAGCCTATGTATTGGAAGAATCTACCTACCTATCTCAATGAGAAAGTTGACGTCTATCAAACAAAAAGAACCCGATTCCCATTCTCAAGTCGGCTCGGACCAAGACAATGAACAATGACATTGCTGGGGGCAAGCTCGGTGTAAGGTGATTGGCTACGGCAAGCTACCCCCCTGCAATATAGCGCGCTTTGACCGCCTTTCAGGGCGGCCACTACAATATTTCTGCCCTTCTGCTTTAGCGCGCCTCTGAGGCCAAGCTCAACCACTCCGCGATCAACTCTGGAGTTCACTCGTTAGGCCAGCCTCGATCTTTCGCAGAAGGCTCCTACAACACCGAACCAATTAGCGTGCTGTAATCTGCGATATTGACGACTGAGCAGACTGAACCGCGTTTCGAGAGGCTTCGCGACGAACCTCCCGCAGGATGTCTACCGTTACCCCCTCTGCCCTGCAGTCAGGGCAGGCTCCGATCATCCCCCTCACCTTCAACGCGAACCAGCCTCAGACGATCCGGCTCTACCCGCTGTCCAACTACACCTTTGGCGTTAAAGAGACGCAACCGGAGGAGGACCCGTCGGTGATCGCGCGCCTGAAGCGCCTCGAGGAGCACTACAGCGAGCACGGCATGCGGCGCACCTGCGAGGGCATCCTCGTCTGCCACGAGCACAACCACCCCCACATCCTCATGCTGCAGATCGCCAACGCCTTCTTCAAGCTGCCGGGCGACTACCTGCGGCCGGAGGACGAGGAGCTCGGCGGGTTCAAGTCGCGGCTGGACGAGCGGCTCGCCCCCGTCGGTAGGCTCGGCGAGGGCGAGGAGGCTGGTGACTGGCAGGTCGGCGACTGTCTCGCGCAGTGGTGGCGGCCCAACTTTGAGACCTTCATGTACCCCTTCGTGCCGGCCCACGTCACTCGGCCCAAGGAGTGCAAGAAGCTGTACTTTATCCAGCTTCCCGAGTCTAGTAAGTTTTGAACCACCTCTGTGGCTTTTTCATATTTGACATACACTTGAGCCATCGCTGAGCACTCCCTTTTTTTTTCTAGAAATTCTGAGCGTACCCAAGAACATGAAGCTATTGGCAGTCCCCCTCTTCGAGCTCTACGACAATACCGCACGATACGGCCCTCAGCTCTCTGCTATCCCCCACCTCCTGAGCCGATACAACTTTGAGTTTGTCGATGAGAACGGCAATGTCGTGGCCGCTACTCCGGGCTCGGCGGCACCTGAGGGTTACGTGCCCCATACCAAGCTCCTTGCCGGAGGAGAGGACGTCCACATGAATGGTGAGGGTGAGGGTGAGGGTGAGGGTGAGGGTGAGGGTGCTGCGGAGTAGTTCTCGTGCATGTGCATGTATAGGGCTGCCTGCTACGAGGTTTTGCTTTCGAGAATATCGCGTGAGGGTAGGAATGTCGGGCGCGAAGTAGGACATGCATGTTCCAGAATGGGTCTGGATGATTGGCGTTCACGGCGTTGCAAAAGCGCGGAGAGATGGTTTCTCGACAGGCAACTCATAAGTTTCAAGTATCCTCGAGGGGGAATTCATTAGTGTATTATCGCTTTTCATAATCTTCGGACATTGCAATTTTGATGCTACTTTCACAAAGTTGCTCTGGGTGGGCGCGCCTGTCAGGCTTTCTCGCCCTGGATGGTCGCCATGACCTTGCGAGTATGCTTGTATGCGCGAAACTCGAGATACCAGATGCCTTGCCAGGTCCCTGTCGCCTTAGTATGCAGTTAGAGATGGACATCCAATGCCGAAGAAAAAAACCAAATAAAAGGTTTTACGATAAGCTTACTAGTTTTCCATCCTTGATGGGGATCGTGACACTAGCGCCAATAAGAGCACTCTTGATATGTGCCTGAGCAAGGTCAGATTAGCAAACGGAAGGTCCAAGAGGTATCAATGCCACGGGCGCTTTGGACTCACAGGCATGTCGTCCGGGCCCTCGGCACTGTGCCTGTAGAGCTCCTCGCCCTTGGGGCCGGCGTCAGGGGCGATGCGGTCGAGTGCGTCGCTCATATCGGCGCGCACATCCTCGTCCCAGTTCTCGTTGAGGCTGAGGGCGCAGCTGGTGTGCTGGACGAAGAGGTTCAGCAGGCCCACCTTGTAGTTCCTGATCTCGGGGAGCTCCTTGAGCACGTGGTCGGTGACCAGGTAGGACCCGCGGGAGCGCGCGGGCAGGGTGAACTGCTTCTGGAACCAGCTCATCTCGGCGGACGGCGGGGAGCTGTAGTGCGGAGACGACGACGGCGACGGTAGCAGGGGCGAGCTGCCGAGCAGTGCAAAGGGCAGCGTCCAGATGTAGTGGAAGACGTTGGGGAAGAAGGCTACGATGAGGAGGAGGATGAGAAGGATGTTTGTGCCTGTGAGCGAAGGTTGGGTTTGAGCTGTTGGCATGGTCCAGATGTCAAGCAGTCAAAACGGCGGCTAAGACTGGAACTCTGTGACGTTATGGTTGTAAAACGTTTGGTAGTGGGGCAAAAATGGTTAGAGTCCCTGGAGATCAATCCACGGGCGGAAGAGGTACGGTACGGTACAGCTTCTGGGCTGGGTGACTGGCTAACAACCTCTGCGAGAGCGGATGACAGGCTGGGCGTGTGGTGGGCACGGCCTAAAGAGGCGGGAGGTTGCGTGCTCCCGGTACCTGTGCTACTTGTACAAGTCGCATGCATTCCATGGATTCCAGCTCTGCCTCCCACAATGCGCGCGGTACCGGCCTGTTTTTTGGCCTCCACACACGCTCGCAAATTGCTGTTGGCATGCCCTCCGGGCCTCCGGGGAAGCTTAACCAGTGCGTCGTCACATTCGAGTGTGTGGTCGCTAAGCCAAACCATTTGGTCCCCTTTCCCAGCGGTCACACCGGTCCCTGCCCCCCCGAATTCCCAGCGGCATGTGGCCTTTAAAATTAGCAACACAGATCTCTGCAGGCACGTGAGCTTGTGGTACAACCGACGCCGGCTTTGAGTATTGAGATGAAAAGGCATGGTTTGAATTGTCTACGACTGTGGTTCTCGGCGAGTATGGCTGGCTGCATAGGGGAGACTTTGGCACTGTGCCTCCAGAGGTACTGTTCCGTGGAGTTTTCTTCTGCCGCGTTTACGCAAGAGATCTTCAATGTTCTGTGCCATGCATGGCGGCCGTGGTCGGCTGCCAGATCTGAAGATCCCTGTACCTGAAATTTGCATGTACTTGTACCACCGCGAACCCCGCGCGATCACTTTACCCCTCACTGAGCTCATCGAGGGTCTTCTCGAGGATTGAAGTGCCCTCGACTGTTGCGGAGGCAGTTGAACACTGTTCAACCACCCCAGAGTCCTCTTCTGGCTCTTCTCCGGAGGGAAAGTCATCACGTAAATGGTTTGGAAAACCTTAGCAACGCAATTATACCGCGCAGGTGCAAAGACCAAGAACCAGCGCTAGGGCTGGCGATTCAGAGACTACTTGACCAATCACCCAATCACCTCACTAGTCGCCAGGCCAATCACAGTCTAAAATCTGGAGAGAAGATCCATTCCCTTCTAGCGAACTCCGGGAAACGGGAAACGAGACACAGAGAGAAGAGGGCAGGGCAGGGGAAATAGAACCCTTCCCTCCGAATGCGAATAAATCAACCCTCTGCTCTGACTCCCAGGGGCAAAGCAAGTCTGCCAGGTTTCCCCTCTTGCCTGCTCGTCAATCAACCTCGGATTATACTTTGGACACAGCCGCATTGCATGCCAGCCACTTCGCCAGGGTCTATGAATCATACCGACTTTGCCTAGGCACTTTTCGCTGTCGACAGACACAACGACGATACCCTCCCGGCGCGCCCCGCATCCTGCTGGCTTCTCAACTGTTGCCTGCGAGCCTCGCATGCTACTTCCACCCGACAACTCTGCCCCAGCCTCCCGTCCCTTCGCTCTCTGAATGCATCTCCTTCCGGCTCTCGACTCTCCCACCTCTTCCCTTGCTGCGACAACGGGCAACAATCGGGCTCAGCCTCGGAAAGACGCCGGAGCCTCTGCCGCCATGACGATGAACTCAAAGCCAGAACTGGTGGCCGAGGCGCAGGCCGCCGAACCCAATGCGCCCCCCGGATGGTCCATGGCAGCGCCTTACAAATTCCCCATCGACAAGCTGAAGCGCCGTACAACTCATGCCGACTTCAACCCCCTCGTCCTGGTCGCTTGCGGCAGTTTCTCCCCCATCACGATGCTGCACGTGCAGATGTTCGAGATGTCGGCCAAGTACATCGAGGAGCACCCTCAGTTTGAGGTTGTGGGCAACTACTTGTCACCGGTAAGCCAACACAACTCCTAGTAATCAAAGTCACTCTCGAGACCGGCGGGCCGGATCTGTAACCCCCAGGTCGCATTTCCAAGTCTTCGCGATCCCCTCTGAATCGCCAAATGCTGACTCACTTCAATGCTTGCAGGTCAGCGATTCCTACACTGCCAAGGCGCTCACCCCGGCATATCACCGTCTGGCCATGTGCGAACTAGCAGTCAAGGACACTGATATCATGGGTAAGATCTCTCATTCGTCGAGTTCGGTGTTATACTGGCCTGTGTTGTGGCGATACAGACCCGCGCCTGTCTAGTATGTGCTGACAAATGCTCAGTTGATCCCTGGGAGGCTTCGCGTCGTGACGAACAAGGCAAGCCCGTCTACACCAGGACGGCAGATGCCCTTGCCCATTTCGATCACGAGATCAACAACGTCTTGGGCGGCATCCAAGCTCCAGATGGGACGTACAAGCGAGCCCGGGTTGCCCTGCTTATCGGTGCTGATGTTGCCATGACTATGGGTGATCCGAAGGTCTGGGCCCCGGCAGACATTGACGCCATCTTTGAGGACTTTGGTGTCTTCATTGTCGAACGGCCGGCTCAAGCCGACATCGAGAAGGTGCTGGTGCCTCTGAAGAAGTACAAGAAGGTGTGGGTCGTGCCGTCTTTCATCAACGACGTCAGCTCCACCAAAGTCCGGGCACATCTGAAGAATGGCCACAGCGTCCGGGACTCGGTTGATGAGTTGGTCATTGACTACATCAGCAACAATGGGTTGTATCAAGGACCAGGCCGATGATGCCATGTGAACAGTTGAGAGGGTGCACTATTGTTCCCCAGCATCTTTCTCCTGAATCACAATCCCGGACGAAGAGAAACTGATGCGAGCCCTGGTCTTGGACCCAACAGTGTGAAGGCCATGGCACAAAGACAGCCATGATTTCAGGCTGACCATGAAGCCCGTGCACATGCAGCATTCCTACCACGACACTACAGGAAGAGGTCTATACGCAACCGCATTTTGGTCTGTGCAAAGAGGGCAACAGTTCTTACTTGGATACCGCAACTTGGTGATATCAAGCAACTCACGAAGTGCTCATTTGGGGCTTGATACAAAAGAGAGTTCGGATTCGATTTGTCCTTGTTTTGAAGTTACATCTGATACCATGCCACTCTTCCTCGGCGCTCTAGATATTCCGCGGGAGCGGTCATTTCAATGGTTGATATCCCCGCAGCCTCTCCTGCGGAATTTGCCGTTGCAACCTGGGATTTCAATATCGATTCCCTGATACGCTACAGCTCTTGTAATTCACTGATACCCTGCATCAAGCTACAGAATAGATGGATACACACGAGGGAAGCCTCTGAGACGACCTCACCTGCTCCCTTGCCCTTTTTGGTTTTATTAGAGTGTTCAATCTATATCCTTTTGGAAGTCTACAAACTAAATGAAATGACCATGTGTGAGTGAATGTTCTTGTATCACGAAAACAGGGTTGCGCTTTTGATGATGTCCAAGTTATGCAAGATGCTTATTAGTGAGTTGGAGAATTGACAGGTTCTCACTTCTTATCTTCGTTTTCCTCCAGGCAGCACCAAAGTCACCAGGGGTGCAGCGAGTCATCACATAGCTGTTATCTGCAAACAGAACCTCTGTAGGCTTTGCTGTTGGTACGATCTACAGCAAGCCATGTCTGCAGGTGGTGTGGTTGGCATACTCGGAGAAAACCTCGGAGCTTATCACTTGATGTAGGGCAATCAATGGCACTTTGGTAGCACCTACATCCTGTTGCAGGCAGAAAGATGACTAGGGCTGCCTACCTGAACAGTAGTAAAGCTCGAGAAACCCCATGAAGAATCCCAAGAACTTTAATATCATCATCGGCACTCAACTCCTTTTTCACCTACAACGTCGAGATCCTCGCGAGTATCGTCGAGAGTATTGACTTGCTTTATTAGTGGTTTGAACGGCTCTGGGGACTTCTCTCAAGTCTGGGCGACCCTGCAAGGTTTAAGCTTCGGCGTTTAGGCACTGAGCCGATCCCTATCCCCAGTTAACTACTCGTGGGCTCCTTGAGGGGAAAGCCCAGGCAGCCATAGCGCCGGCGGGTCAGTCATGCATGACCACCAACTCCAGTCCTGCCCGCAGACCCACGCTCCTGGTTTTCAGCGCATCATAAGCCCCGTAAAAAAAAAAGATTGGGAAACGGAGCTTTGGAGCTTCTCGCCGCTTCTTCAGAGAGGCTGACAAAGCACATCGTCGTCAGTTGACTTCCTGAAAACTTACTCGAGCAAACCGTCTCCTCAGCAGACAAATTGTCGTAGAGCTCGTGTCGTCTTTGCAATCTGGTCAATTCGCCAGCAATTGCTACCTCGTAGGCTCCTGTCTGTCTTTTGTACGACCTCGAACAGTGTGCATTGGGTGCCTGATAAGAGGGAGCCAACGACCTCCGATCTCGAAGCCTTCTCTCCCTCCCCCCACCCTCCGCTGGCTGGCTCGAGTTCCGCCGTCGCAGAAACAGCAGCCTTTTACCCCTGACTCGAGCTATGATATCGCGACAGCCGGCGAGGTGATCCAAACGGCCATGCGAGTTGAAGACGACTTCTCCCAGCGGGTCATTGCCCAGACTGGTTCATTTTCCGGGTACCGCCCATTGCTTGAGCTCGGGAGCGGCTATCTGACCGCAACCAAAACGTTCAAGCAGCCGCTATGCGGTAACGAGGAGGGCTGGGGTCCTCTCAGCCCCTTCCGTTACGACTTCACGCCGTGCTTCATCGATGTCTGGGTCGCCATTGTGGCTGCATTCGGAGTTGTGGCTGGCGCGGGAGCTTTGTGGTGGATTATCGCGAAGAAGCCCGCCTCTGCTTCCATCGTCAAGGACTGGCACTTCTGGATCAAGCAGGTGAGACCATTCTCGTTTGAATTGAAATGTACAATTGATTTCGGGGGCCCGAAGCTGACTGTATGTTGTCATAGACTCTGGCCGGACTTGTTATCGCCGACTTCGTTGTGCAGCTCGTCATACAAATAATCAACTATCCCGACATATGGTTCGGCGACTTCCGAGTCTGGACGACCGCCCTGACGATCGTGTCCCTCGCGGTGGTGTTTGCGATCCAATGGGTTGAGCATGCGCGCCTTCGAAACGCAAATGGAGTGGTGCTTCTCTACTGGCTGTTTATGCTGATGGCCCTCGCCGTCAAGCTCCGGTCCGTCGTATCGCAACAGCTGTACTCGTCCAACGTGCCATACTTCGCCACATATACCGCCGGCGTCGGCTTGGCGTTGGCTGCCTTCCTCGTCGAGTGGCTCTGGCCCAAGAGGCAGAGCGCTTACGAGGCTATTGTGGACGAGGAGGAATGCCCAGCCGAGTATGCGACTGTCTTCTCGCTCCTCACCTTCTCATGGATGACTCCCCTAATGAGGCACGGCTACAAACAATTCCTTACGGAGGACGACCTGTGGGGCCTTGTTTCCACCGACCGTACCAAGGACACCGGTGAAGCGTTCGAGAAGGCTTGGCAGCACGAGCTCCAGCACCGGAAGAATCCCTCCCTGTGGCTGGCCCTGTTCCGAGCTTACGGTGGTCCGTATGTTGTCGCTGCTTTCTTCAAGATCGGCAATGATCTCGCTGCATTTACCCAGCCCCAGCTGCTACGGTATCTCATTGCCTTTGTGAGGTCGTACCAACCGGGCAACGAGCCCGAACCTCCCATCAAGGGCGCTGCGATTGCCTTGGCCATGTTCGTAGTCGCCTGCATTCAGACCGGCATGATTCACCAATACTTCCAACTTGCGTTTGTCTCTGGAATGCGCATCAAGGGCGGTTTGACTTCGGCTATTTACCGGAAATCGCTCCGCCTTTCAAACGAGGGCCGGGCTTCCAAGACCACGGGTGATATCGTCAACTACATGGCCGTCGATGCCCAGCGTCTTCAAGACCTGACACAATTCGCTCAGCAGGTCTGGTCTGCACCTTTCCAGATTCTTCTGTGCATGGTTTCTCTGTACAAGTTGGTGGGCTGGTCCATGCTTGCTGGTATCGGCGTCATGATTGTCATGATTCCTATCAACGGCTTCATTGCCCGAATCATGAAGAACCTCCAGAAGCAGCAGATGAAGAACAAGGACGCCAGGAGCCGGCTGATTGCGGAGATTATCAACAACATGAAGAGCATCAAGCTCTACGCCTGGGGTGCCGCGTTCATGAACAAGCTCAACTTCATCAGAAACGACATGGAGCTGAAGAACCTGAGGAAGATTGGTGCCGGCCAAGCCATTGCCAATTTCACATGGAGCACCACGCCATTCCTCGTGTCGTGCTTGACTTTCACCGTGTTCGTCTTGACCCGGGACACTCCCATGACTACCGAGATCGTCTTCCCTGCGCTGACTCTGTTCAACCTTCTCACCTTCCCTCTTGCCGTGCTTCCTATGGTCATCACCTCGATCATCGAGGCCAGTGTGGCCGTCGGCCGTCTCACGTCTTACCTCCTTGCAGAGGAGGTTCAAGACGATGCCGTCGTTCTCAAGCCCGCAGTCGAGGAGCTCGGTGAGGAGACTATTTCCATTCGCGACGCTACTTTCTCCTGGGATCGTCACGAGACCAAGGAAGTGCTTAAAGACATCAACTTCTCCGCCAGCAAGGGTGAGCTCTCTTGCATTGTCGGGAGGGTAGGTGCTGGAAAATCTTCCTTCCTGCAGAGTCTGCTCGGTGATCTCTGGAAGGTGAAGGGCCGTGTGGAACTGCACGGTTCAGTGGCCTACGTCGCTCAGCAATCATGGATCATGAACGCCACGGTCAGAGAGAACATCATCTTTGGATATCGATATGATTCAAACTTCTATGAAAAGACCGTCAAGGCTTGTGCTCTCCTGGACGACTTCGCGCAGCTCCCTGATGGAGACGAGACCGTCGTGGGCGAGCGTGGTATTTCTCTCAGTGGAGGACAGAAGGCAAGAGTTGCCCTGGCTCGTGCTGTTTACGCTCGTGCCGATATCTACCTCCTCGACGACTGTCTCTCCGCCGTCGATTCCCATGTCGGACGTCACATCATCCAGAATGTCCTGGGACCCGATGGTCTTCTCAGCTCGAAGACCAGGATATTGGCAACGAATTCTATTCCGGTCCTCGTAGAGTCGGACTTCATCTGCTTGCTCAAAGACGGCGAGATACTCGAGAAGGGCACCTTCCGTCAGCTCATGGCTATGAAGGGCGCCGTCTCGGACCTCATCAAGACTGCCGGTCACGAATCCGGGCCTTCATCGTCAGGCGCCAGCCCGTCTGGATCTGGATCAGATAGCGAGACTTCTACAATCATCGACGCTGCCAGCAGCCAGGAGAAAGACGAGATTGAGGAGGCGCAAGACCGCTTGTCAACCCTGGAACCTATCAAGTCCGGTCCCGCCACCACTCAAAAGAGGAGACAGGGCAGCACAGTGACTCTTCGACGAGCCAGTGCCGCCAGTTTCAAGGGTCCCCGAGGCAAGCTCACTGATGAGGAGGCGTCGAACTCCAAGACCCGACAGGCAAAGGAGTTTTCTGAGCAAGGCAAGGTCAAGTGGTCAGTCTATGGGGAGTATGCGAAGACGAGTAACCTCGGCGCTGTTGCAGTCTACCTGCTCGCCCTGGTTGCGGCCCAGACTGCTCAGATTGGTAAGTCTCATGCCTCGAATGGAAATCTCACAGTATCTGACATTAGCTCTAGCTGGTAGTTACTGGCTCAAGAACTGGGCAGAGGCGAACAGAAAACTCGGTGCTAATCCAGATGTCGGCAAATGGATCGGCATCTACTTTGCCTTTGGTATCGGCTCCTCCGCTCTGACTGTTGTCCAAACCTTGATCCTGTGGATCTTCTGCTCGATTGAGGTAAGAATCCGGCGTTGTCTAGTGTTTAGAACCCTCGTCGTCGCTGACAAGATCATGACAGGCATCCAGGAAGCTCCACGAGCGTATGGCGACTGCGATCTTTAGGTCACCCATGTCTTTCTTTGATACCACCCCGGCCGGGCGGATATTGAACAGGTTCTCAAGGTATGTTGACCGTATCTTCTACTTCGTCCGGCAACTTTTGATCCATGCATATGGCGTTGCACACATCTCAAGCAGAGAGTGCCGGATCTGGATCACGCTGCGTCGATATGTGTTGCACACCACTCCCGATATCCCAGGGCTGGCCAGGGGGTCACGTCACTATCCTCGTGACTTCCTGACATGCAGCTGCTAAGGCATGTAAGACATTACGGAGCCGTTCGCTGACCCCAACTTACTCATGCAGTGACATTTACCGGGTAGATGAGGTGCTGGCTCGGACGTTCAACATGCTATTTGTGAATCTTGCCAAGTCGGGCTTCACGCTAGTTGTTATCTCTGTCACGACACCTGCGTTTGTAGCGGTGATTTTTCCGCTCGCCGCCATGTACATCTATATCCAGCGTTACTACTTGCGGACATCTCGCGAGCTCAAGAGGTTGGACAGCGTCAGCAGGAGCCCGATATATGCCCACTTCCAAGAATCATTGGGCGGCACTTCGACCATTCGGGCATACCGCCAGCAGGAGCGGTTCGAGCTGGAGAACGAGTGGCGTGTTGACGCCAACCTGCGGGCTTACTTCCCGTCCATCAGTGCCAATCGATGGCTGGCGATCCGGCTCGAGTTCATTGGCGCCGTCGTCATCCTTTCCGCCGCCGGCTTTGCTGTCATATCCGTAACAAACCACAGCGGCCTGACCGAGGGTGCCGTTGGTCTCGCCATGTCGTACGCGCTGCAGATCACGTCTTCGCTGAACTGGATCGTCCGCCAGACCGTCGAGGTGGAGACCAATATCGTTTCTGTCGAGAGAGTGCTCGAGTATGCCAACCTGCCTAGCGAAGCACCGGAGATCATCCACCGAAACAGGCCGGCTGTGGCCTGGCCTTCCAAGGGCGCCGTCGAGTTCAACAACTACAGCGCCAGGTACCGCGAGGGCCTGGATCTGGTGCTGAAGAACATCAACCTGGACATCAAGACGCACGAGAAGGTGGGGGTCGTGGGCAGGACGGGAGCAGGCAAATCATCCCTGACGTTGGCCCTGTTCCGAATCATCGAGCCGGACACAGGTCACATCAGCATCGACAATCTCAACACGTCTACAATCGGCTTATTAGACCTGCGCCGTCGATTGGCAATTATCCCGCAGGATGCGGCTCTGTTCGAGGGTACCATTCGCGACAATCTAGACCCCGGTCACGTCCACGACGACACGGAGCTGTGGAGTGTGCTTGGTAAGTAACACGTCTCTGCGTCCCCCCCTCCCTCCCCTCCAACTCGGTAGCACATGGCCGTACTTCTATCTCCTGGTCGTCACACATTTGCCCCCCTTACAACACCTGGATTGGTCTGACGGATTATATTGCAGAACACGCCCGGTTGAAGGACCACGTCGCGAGCATGACTGGTGGGCTTGAGGCTAAAATCAACGAAGGAGGTGAGCTGTCTTTCCTTTCTTTTTTTTCTCTCTTCCCGCTCGGGTTCTACAGTATCTCGCTTTCTATCGGCTTTCACAAGCCTCGCACCGGCCAACCCTTGCCGTCTATTTTTTTGATTGTGTTTGCGTTTCCGTTTCCGTGCAGCAAATGGGTTGCACACCAGCAGGCGGATGGCGGCAGATTGCATGATGCTGTGGCTAGATATATACGAGCCGCCTAGACATGTCGCACAGTAACGTGCGGGAGCAGCAGCGGTGAAGTGTACGCCTCTCTGTGTCACCTTTCAGGTGCATGCCATCTACCGCAAACAGTCGACCCTGCATGATCTCCAGCGCATTGCATGCCCTTTAGAACATGAGTGCTCTTGGCCAGTAGCCGTGAGCTGCGGTCGGTCCTTTTAGGCATGCGCATTTGATCATCTCGCACTGCATACGGCGATGTACCGAGGCACACTTCGTTCTCTCTCTCTCTCTCTCTCTCTCTCTCTCTCGCCTCTTCCTTCGTCGTTCAAGGCGGGAGACGTCCGTTGTTTCAAGGATTGGGGGGAGGGTGGCCGCTTCGTCATTCCTGATCCCCCGCTGTTTGTCTTTTGTGCTTTGTAATACCCGAGTGGAAGAATGACAGACATGAAGACGTCACGGATCTCTGTACTAACCACATCGCACATCGGCCAGGCTCCAACCTGTCACAGGGCCAGCGACAGCTCGTGTCTCTGGCGCGGGCCATGCTGACGCCATCCAACATTCTGGTCCTGGACGAGGCGACGGCCGCCGTCGACGTCGAGACCGACGCCCTGCTGCAGCAGACGCTGCGGTCACCGCTGTTTGCCAACCGCACCATCATCACCGTGGCCCACCGGATCAACACGATCCTCGACAGCGACCGCGTCGTGGTGCTCGAGCGCGGCGAGGTCGCCGAGTTTGGCCCGCCGCAGGAGCTAATCAAGAAGCGAGGCGTCTTCTACGGGCTCGTCAAGCAGGCCGGCCTGACCGAGTAAAATGTGGATAAAAGGCTTGTGTTGTTGTTTTTGGTATTTTGATATCTGTGCTGGGTCCTTTCCCACAAAGCCAGCCCAACCCAACCCATACATAGACAGACAGCACACAGGTGGGTGGTGTGTAAATGGGGCGGAAACGGACCAGGGGGAGGAGTTGGTGGGATATATCCCTGATCCAGGGCGACATATTGCACCACATGCTTACTCCTTTTTGATAGATAAAACAAATCCATGGTTTTCTTTTTCTTGGTTGGGAGAGTGAGCTAGCTAGCTAGCTAGCTACGGGGGTGTGAGATGAGCGGAAGGAGTTAGTTACCTAGATTGCACATATCCAGCCACGAGCAAGGGGGGGCGTTGTTTTGGATGCGAAGGCGATGGTGTGCAATAGAAACGGAATGATACCAGACATATACAAAATGCCTCTTTCCGTCCTTGATAGGTTCCTTGTACGGAAACGCGGTAGCAGAGAGCGAGTGAGTGAGCGAGATTGAATGGGAGAAAAAGGACCGTCAAGGGGCAAAAGAAGGGTGTATATCTGTTGCGTTGTATGAATGGCAAGGAGATACCTAGGAAAAAAGAAAAGCACGCAAGAAGAAGACTCCCCATGTACACACCTGGTAGGTAGGTAAGTTGCAGAGAATGGGACTCCCGCCCAATCCCCAGCCGTCTTTGCTTTTCATATGTCACTCTCTTCTTCTTCTTTTTTTTTGTTCCCTGGTTGCTCCGCGTGGACGGTCAAGGGCCGGGGATAGGATGGGAGGAGACAAGAATCGTGACCGTCGACTGATGCTGTGTAACCACCATCTTGTTTTTTTTCTCCGCCCCCCTCCCTCCTGAGCATTGCTCTCCATTTGATTTTCCTTCCTTACCCCGGTCAGCATGTGTCTCCGGGGTGCGGCTCACCAGTTGCGATAAAGGATGGTACGCTGGCTGGTATGGTATGGTAAGGTAGGCGATTGTCAAGCACGGAGGGGGAGGGCATGCGGAGAGGGGAGGGGGGTGGACAATGGCGCCGGTACAGTACCCAGTGCCCTCCCTACCCCCTGCTGCCTACCTATCTGTTACTGTTATTATTGGGAGATTTCTTTTTCTGATGAGGCTATCAAAAAAAAAGAGCCCGCCAGGCATCGGGGCCAAGAGCGTCACATCGTCCAGCTGGTGGTACTTGTATGTGGGATAGATGTGAACCCGGAGTGTGCCACACTTATCACAATCCCAGGCCTCGGGGGTTGTCATTCGCGGTTGTTTTGCACCTTTGGAGAGTAGATCTTCTTCTCTTCTTGTCTCTTTTTTTGTAAAAAAAAAAATCTCCTACTGGTTTCTTCTCCTTTTCCATCGACGGACCAACTGACAAGAGAACCGCCGGAGAAAAGTCCGATCCCCAGGATTGCAGGGGGAGGGAGGGTGTCATGCCGTCTTATGTCATCTCTCTTTCTCTCGCTCCTTGTCACGTCCTGCCTTCCCTGCAAACACACACACACACACACACACACGCATACACGCGTACACACAGACCACAAAAAGCAGATGTACGGTCAGCAAGGTGCGTCCCGGTCCTCTTGTTGTGTGGAGATTCGAGACTGGCCCGAGCCGGCGAGTCAAACGTCTGTCTTCACCTACGAGGGACGGAGTCATAGAGTAGTTCCCACCGTGTGTGTGCTGGGCTTTGATGTGTCGATACCTGACCCAGACTTGGGATCCTAGGTATTATTCCAGGGTCTCTGTTTCGTTTGCAGGACCCCAACCTCACCAAAATGGACACGGCAGAATACGTGAGCCAATGCCCCTAAGAAAATGCACATTCGTTATGTGGTGACACACATAAGGTTGCTCTGTGATGAACGGTGGCGTCGTACGTGGTTGCTGGCTGCATATACGCCCCCCTGGTCCTTGCAAGTAGTGGAAAAGGCCGCCACACGCCTCGAAACAGGGGGGAAAGGCGAACAGGGATTCCTGGGAATGCTTATTCCCGTATCAGAGCTGTTCCTTGATACCTGGGGAATCCTTGCTTTAAGAAGCTGGCAAGCAAAACGAACGGAAAGCAAAAAAAGGCTGTAGGACAAGATCTCCTGCGTATGCTTTTCGAGCAGCTATTGGGTCAGCGAAAACAAGAAGGGTGTTCATTGCCAAACGGTCACGATTTCAACAACCCGTCTACGTTTACTCGCCAGCTACATAAAGGAGCCTGATGGTGCAACTCGATGGTGATGGAAGTCAATCCAAGAGCATGATCAGACGTGTTCGGACTCGAGAGGGAGTGCGAGGCAAAGCCGTCTAAGTCCAGAAACTGCATCAGGAAGCGAGAATGAACGAGATGACCGATGCCAAGTTGGTCGTAGAGAGATGCCCAAAAGAGAGAAGGAAGCCAAGAGCTGAAGAAGAGATCTAGGCATCAAGTTCTTACCTACAAGGTTACAAAGATGGGGTTCTTGAACTCAAGCAGCTCTGGCCATCTGCTTCGTCCTTCTGCCGGAGACTCCATTTGCGGGGAAGTTTCCACCCCCCATGAGATAAGTGTTCGGCCTATCGGGGTCGAAACCAGTAAGGATCGTAGCTGGACTGGCCTCTAGATTTGATGCCTGTACCCTGACCCTGGCTCGTCCTGTGCGCTTATCCTCCCAGACAGTAGCCAAGAGGATCAACGCCCCGAGAACCCTATCGTGGATACACCGTGCCGCATCCTTGGGTCCCGCTCCCCAACTCCGAAGGGCTGCGTCGAGAAGGAAAAGAGTGTGGGTGGTGGTGTGTGACTGACTGGGTTTGGTTTGTGTGTGTGTGTGTGTGTGTGTCTGTGTGTAACCTGCCAGGGGTGTTGACCAGAGCTGCTGATTGGTTTCTGTTTCATACAAAAAAGCCCCCTACACATATTTGGAAGCTTACCTGACACACCTGACTGACTAGCTACAGGACTGCACGTTCTGGACCTCGCCTGGCGGCGTCTAGGTATGTTCTGCACGGGCTTTCACCCAGATTGGTGAAATAGACAACGGGATCAAAGCTCTACATATACGCGGGCCAAGAAGATAGCAGGCAGATTGGACGCTGCCCTGGTTGAAAAGGCAAGGGGCCAACGGCCCCCGGAACGGGCGTGCATACCAGCCGAGTTTATGATTCGACATTCCCCCCGGTGATAGGAGGAAGTGTTCGTATGTTTAGTAGACTCGCCCTCGGACATCACGATCCAAGCTGAGTCGGGTCAAGCATCCGAGGGAGGCGCAGGTCTAGACGTAAAAGTACTTGGCATGGAGCCCAGACCAGGTTGAACAAGAGCTAGACCAAGCATCGGCTTTCTCGATTCCCATGGTCGACTTGGCCGTGGAGCAGCAAGTCGCGATGTTTTGCATTGATGTTTTGCATCTCCATCCAATCGGATCCGAAGAGTTCCGGGCTCCATCGCTGCGGATCTTCGAGTCCCAATGGTGCCTTGGCGACAAAGACAGACAAGGCCCTGAGCCTCGAGGAAAGATGGCGAAGGGTCGAGGCCGAACTTGAGATCGAATGCATATCCCCAGTGGGCCACTGTTGGACCGAGTGCCGCCATGTTGGGTCGTTCCTGGGACTGTCGCATTTCACATTTTCAGTCTCGCCTTGGCATGATCGTGCAAGCGCCACGCCTGATCCGTCCTTGACACCCACCATCCCCACTCCACTTACCTTATTTCAGCATCCCCTGCGTAGGCAACTCCAGCGACTTGCGTGCGAGATGGAGAGCCTCTGGAGTAAGCAGCTGAAGTTGTGACACCAAATAGGCAAAGGTCGTACAAACAGCCCTAGGCACCCGAAGGAGGGAACGAGGTTTGGATGGAGGAGTGCCCGGCTCCGACGTGGAGCCTCCACCCCTCCGCCCTCATGTCCGCTTATCTCTTCGTCGGCCGAGAGGTTATATCTTTGGAAAGCAGCGGTATGTTTAGCAATAGCCGGTAAATGCCTTTCGGCTGAGGATGTGCTGTCCAGTAAGCGTGGCAGCCAGCCCCCTCCCCCGTTGGTTGTTTCTTGGGAAGCCCGTTCCTTGCCGACCTGGGAGTTGCCGATCGATGATATCGCCGATAGAACAGCTGTTGCTCTCGACTGCCAGGCCTTTCCGCGTTGAGCCGGGATTAAGGCCAGATCCGTGACACCGTCGACGTGGTTTGACGGCACGATATGTGGGATATATGCATGGCCTCCAAAAAAGCCCATCGCCAGCACTGGCGCCAATGCCACCACGCCAAGAGGATTGATTATTCTTGGACAAACGGTGGTGGTGTGTTGGCTGTCATGTAAAGTCTGACGTCTGTTCCGTTGTCGGCTAGTGCTGGCTAAGCTGTTGGGCCGCCAGACTATCCGGCGCGGTGAATCACTAGCTTGGGAGAATGGCGGCGGCGAACGTATTTGCGGTGTCTGGTGTGAAGTATGGAGGGAGGTTCGCCTGTCGTCGTCGTTCGTCGTCGACGGTTGCCGCCGCCGCCTGTCGGGCGAGAAAGAGGGTGTGTGGCCTTGGGGAAAAGTTGCAAGGGTGGGCAGTGGTGTCGCCGGTGCAGGCACTCAGTCAGCACGGCGGCAGAGGACGCAGCTGCAGGCTGGCATGTGAACTGGCGAGCTGGTCCACGGTTGGGTTGGGCCCACACCCTCTTTCCTTCTTTTCCTTTTTTCCCAGAACCAGTAACTACTTCGTCCGTACCTTCCTCGTCGTCGTCGACTTCTGAGAACCCGCCCGGGCAAGCACCGGGTTCTGGAATGAGTGCTCGCCCACGACGGCCTGCTCTGTCCTCTCCCAGCAGGCGCGATTGGCCATCGGCGCTGAGGACGGAGGGCGGAAAAAGGAAGGATCAGCACGAGTTGCACCTTGCAAAAACGTGGCAATCGTGTCATTACCCACTTGGATTTGCCGGCCGGTTCTTGCCAGTGCCTCTGGGATCGACGCGCATGCATGCCTCTGGCCTGAAGGCCCGAAGCCCTTTCCAGCCGTGTCAGCCCCCTTGTGGCTCTCATGGCGCTCTCTCTATTGCTCGCCAGTAACG